TCGAAACCAAGGATCGATTGGATCTCTGGTGCATTCGTGAAATCAATCATGTAGAAGTGATCTACCGTGATGTGGAACGCATTCTCACCGCTATACACCAATTCGAACAGGGCATCACTTGCATTCAGCTTTGCAATGATCGTTTCGATGTCATATGCACCGCGTGGTATCGTGATCTCTTGAATCGTAGCGCCAGCATTGATTAGCACCATTTGATCAGTCGGCACGTTGTGCAACACGAAGTCCGTATACAACGACACAGACGAGATGTAGCACTGGTCGAACGAGAGAGGATTGTCCAGCTTCACTTCCTTCTTGGTGGTATTGCCGAACACTTCAATCATACTGAACTGGTTTGCAGAGACAATCGTTGGGGGTGACGATGTCACCCCCGGGGGAAGCGAAGCTTCCCCCATCGATGAAGGCACTTCCTCCATCACGTCCTCAATCGTCAACTGGAGTTCGAATTCGCCGTTCAGTCGCATCATCTTGCCATCCATATCGCGGAACACGAACATCAATTGATCAAACCGAGTGATCATTGGTATGCACACGTCTTCCACACTTCGCACATAGTCAGCCGTTGGATCGTCAATGATCATCGTGGTGAGCAGGTTGTTGTTCTGGTTGGCAATCTTCAAGTCCGATGATCGCACGATCGTCGAGTAGACCTGGATCACTTGGCGATTTCGCGTGATATCAATCACGTTCGATCCACTGAACGAAGCAGGTAGAATGACCGTTCGTCCATCGAAGCCGAGGATCTCACGAATGTCAGGTGCATCCGTGAAGTCAATCGTGTGTGGAGACTGAATCCAGATACAACCGAACGACGAGGCATTCGTCGATATGGAAAATGTAGTATCGGTCATGGTATTGAGCAAGGCAATGATCTCACTGATCGTGTAATAACCAGCAGGGATTGTCACAGTCTCGTTATTGCTGTTAGTAATCACATTCGTCGTGTCCACGTTGTTGAACATCGAACCATTAGGATGAAACAGGACAGTCATGGAAGTGATATAGGGATTCTTGTACTTGTACGGATTAACCCATGTAAATGAGCCGTTGGTAGGTGAGCCTTGAATAAGCATGGAGTAGTGCATGGTCTTTCTCTCTTTACCTTAGTCAACAAGACAATGGGGAGGAATCGAAGATTCCTCCCGGGGCAACGTACGTTGCCCCATCACACCCATGGATATCATGGCCTACAATGGAAGTCAGGTTAACATTGCAGAAATTTGCCGAAATTGGCAGCCATGGGTTTCCGCGCGTTTCTTGTTATGGACAATACGGTGGCCAGGCAGGCAATGGCAGAAAATGGCAGAAATGGTCGAAAATGATCACATTGACCAGCAATAACAACCATAATAGTCATGGATATCGCACATTTCAGCACTCGTGTTTTACTCATGAGTGCTGAAATTCTTATGAAACGCAAAAATCAAGGTACCAGTTGAGGGGGTCTGAGGGGTGACTTTGGGGGATTTTTTGTGTTCTGACGGGAATACGCGAAAACAAAGATGGGGTCAGAGGGGCGACTTTGAGCCGCGCACTCTCGTAGATGAGGTCGGAGGGGCGACTTTGGGTTCCGCGTTTTTCACGTCATTCCCCTACTACTTATTACAATAAATACTTGTGAATTAGAGCTAATTCTTGAAATCACATGAAATGGGGAATACATAGAAGAAACATACGCAGCTATATAAAGACACTAATATTATATGGAAATAGCCATCAATATTGCTTTTCTAATAATCAGTATCGTTTGTATGAAATTAATGTGCTAGAATGAGTCAGCATTGCTTGCTTTGTGATAGTACTCCATTTCACAATTGTTTTCCTGAACAGTATCTTTCGTTTGAAGGAATGTGGATATTTTATGACATGAGTTACAGTGAATATTAATAATAATATTAATGATGATAACATTATTAGTTGGTTAGAACAAGTCAGGAGAGAGTTGTTGTAGATGTAGTGAACTGTTTAATATTCTGCATTCGTATAGTACGTACATTTTTAGAATTAGGGTTATTTACGTTTTCAACCAAAATGATGTTCTCATTTACTAGTTTCAATCGAATAGCACAGTATTACTTAAGAATCTTATCTACTTCTTGTTTCGTTTTGAAAAAAGGCATAGAGAGCATGGGTGTTGAGATTGGTTGTCACCTGTGTGACTACCCTATTTTCTGGATAACTTTCACTCCATAGATTCGAACCAGAAGACTTGGAAGTGAATCAGAAAATTTCAACTCTAGTTCATTTGTGGTTCAAGGTATTGCTATAAGACTGAAAAGTTGAATACATAGATCTTCCAAATCTACAATTCATAGAATTAGGTGATGAAGTATTCCGTAATACCGTAACAACAATAATTGAAAGTATTGAATGAATTAGAATGAAATAATTGATATAGATCTTCCATCATTACAATCCATTCGACTCGGTCGTGCTGCACTTCACGGAGAATCTGATGAATCAAGTTTGTTGAAAATGAAATGTAAAAATGAAATGATTCGAATTGTTTAAATCTAGATCTTCGGAATCTTACTTACATCAATTCTGAAGGAGAAAGTTTCTATGAGGCTAATTCATTGACATTAATAAGTAGATAATAATATTATTGAGATTGATTGTATTTAGGTATTCCAAATCTTCAGCATGTTAGTTTACCTTGTTCATTCAGTCATTTTCGATCAAAAACTATTTTGAGTATTGTTTGATTGATTTGGTTCTTTTCATAGATGTAGCTCCACTTCTTGCTGATCTTGTCCCCTATTAATAGATAAGGTGGTTCTAGTAAAATACTGCGCATTACATTTCATGTCATTGAAGTCAATGATCATTATACTTTCAATACGTACTCATTTCTTTGCTCATTTGTTCAAAATTCCCTATTACGATTCTTTGGTCAATCGTTGTTGTGTATGACACTCTATACTAATATATACAATCACTTGAATTCAATTTTTATCGATGCACTCGTCAGACCTGTATATATCACGGTATTAGTACTTTGCCACTTCCATTTGTCGCCTATCTTATTGTTATCATAATTTTGGTGCATTACTTGCGAAATGAATCACATGTTAGATAGACGTTTCTGTAATGTGCTTATCGAGTGCTATTAACCACATGGTAAGGAAAAGCATTTACTCCTTATTAAGCATGTTTATATAACAGCAATACGAATAAGGCACTTTACAGGAATTGCTGTTATTCACTAATTATTGTTTTTTCATGTCCAAAGTTACTTGGGTAGACATATTACTACACCGCAAAGAGTTATTACAAAACGGTAAAGGGGATCTAGCAATAGTCGACCAGCAAGTATATTCACGTATTCTTATTACTGTATTATCAGTAGTGGAATCTGTTGCTCATCGAGCAATACAGTATTGTGTAAATGGATGGACTTTGCCGGATGATAATACAAACCTGCCCGAAGGGGAGAAAATTATGCTAATGAAGGCTGTATTAGAAATATTTACTCAGCGCAACTTAATGATATGGCATCTTCATGATTTCTTGAATAGTCAGGAAATTGTTATTATTTGGATAGTTTCAAATATATGTATAGTATTCCTTTTACCAGTATTTGCGTGACCATTGCGAAGTGGCAAACTTAAGCTCCCAGAAAGGTTTACTAACTTTAAATATGCATCTAGCTGCTCTTTTAACGGAGATCGATCGTATTCGAAGTAATAGAGGTAGTTTGCAAACGTGTGTTTTTTTACCTGTGATTGATTTTCCCTAGTTCTGCGTCTCAGTCCAACCTAAACATCGAAGATTCTCTGAAATTTGTGGAAAATGCAACAAAGGAAGCTCCGCAGGGGCAAAACGACGCTCTTCTCTGCTACTCCTACTATTTGCTTGGCTATTTCTATTTTTATGAATTACATTGGAATTTGGTTTCTTCTTTTCTTCTCTCCTCATCCTTTCTAGGCGTTGCAGAATTGGGAGCGAAGCCATTTCAACCAGTTTGACTGGGATCATGAAGAAGTCGAAAGTCTTATATCACGTTTTTTTGTTACATTTATTCTATTTTAGACATAAAGAGCCCTTGCCAGCCTCCAAACACTCAAAAACCATGTAGTAAACTCGATCTGTCATCAGTGGATGTACTTCCCTTTATTCAGCGGAATCCGCCAGAAAATCATTATTGCCTTCACCCCAAATCCGAATTCTCGCGCTCTTCACTGATTCCCAACATTCAGTATCATCTTCGTCTCTGGAGCAAGGCTTCCTCTTTCTTTTTAAATCGTTTTTTGTTTTGTGTGTTTTGCTTGACTTGCAGTGGAGTCGCTGCATACCAATAAGGAACATTATGTTTGTTTGATGACAAGTCTGTATCAAGCCAACTATATCTCCGAAATGATATGTCTAAACCAATATTTTTCGTTTTGTTCCTATGACGATGTTGAAGTAATGTTGAAAGATCATGACTTTGACAATGCGTGCATTTACTTCCTCTCGGACATTCCGCTCCTCGAGATCCTAATCAAGCTCTATTCCCAACGCAGAACCATTTCGCAGGCTGCGTCAGAGGTAAATTGAATGGGGCTGAGTCGATTGGTAGACATTCCAATTGCTGATGGATCAGATGAAGAAGCCCGAAATTAACTATTTTAACGACCGTGCGATCTACAATACGTGAGCGTGTTCTCGGCAAGTAAAGTGTAGAGAGCGGAATAATTTGGAACGAAGATTACTGCGATATCTATTTATGAAGTTTATGGAAATGATAGAGTTATTTGATTGTTCTAGAAACCAATTTGATTGAATGTATATAGTCATCACGCATCTTCTGTGTGTTTCACTCCTTTCCATTTTTTATAATAAAACAATAACTTCGTGCCTTCCAAATCTCTTTTTCATTTCTCTCGCTGACCCTCTCTGCACGATATCTCTCCTTGTTGTCGCACATCCATCATTCCTCCCAATTCGATTCTCTTCTCTTGTCTTCTCTTGTCTCAAGTGACTCAAACAAACACTTCACCATTACTTTCCTAGTCGAATGGCATAGGAAATCGCTACTTCCCAACAGCGGCAATCAAACTCAGAGTTGACTCTGAACAAATAAAAATCGCCGTTTTCTGTGCGGATCTACGTCCCAGACGCTCTCCAAACGTACCTCAAAGAGACGTACATTCTCTGCATGCTCTACCAAATATGCAGTCGTCAGATCAATCACTTCCACCTTCTACGCATCATCCCGTCTCCCCGACCTCACTTTTTGCCACCAGCCATAACTAATCACAGCCTGGCCCTTCTCCACATACAACAAACAGCGCAGATAGCAAAATTGACATACATTTGAAGATTTGAACCAGAGCTGCTCTTGGTGGGGAAGCTACGTCCCATCAATCGACTGCTTTTACCTCCACGCGGCAGCTGACGCTCTGGCTTCGCAGACAACGACGGATGCGCAAAACGGGGCGCATCAACGCCTGTTGCCACTCCTCTGCATCTCGTCGAATCGCAGAAGCGGTAGAAGAAACTGCTGCAGGGTCAGAGTTTTGGCAGAAGAGCTTCTAACGGTAATCGAAAAAAACGGACCTACGTCGTCAATGAGCGTGACGAGATAATCGATAACATCGTTGTCATGCAGGAACGATGGAGACGTCCAGTTAATGTTTGAATTACTTGAACTATTTTGGAGTGGCGAGCTACCTTGATAATCAAGAAATAACTGTACGTTTCAGAAAAACCGGCTTCTTGAAACGAAAATCCAAAATGTTTTATCCACTGGGAAGTCTATCTGGAAAAGTCCTGCCAATCAACCTACCAAAATGCCCTTCAGCGTTGGGCGTAAAGCGACATCAGGATTTAGCAAAGACGTGAGGAGCTGCTTCAGCTCACTCGAAATCCCGTCGAGCGGGGGAGGCGAGTTATAGTTTTTCATTTTTACCATATAATCCATCAAATTGGAAAATTGGATGGGCAGTCTCCCGTATATCAAGACGTACAGAGAGACGCCGATGGACCAAATATCTGCCGAATACGACGAAAAGAGTCCGTCTACCATTGAGCGGGAAATCATCGGGCACCCTTCCAGCACTCTGGCGCCTGAAAGAAGCGGTCTCCCGAGAAGCTCTCGCGTAATCCACCTAAAAGATCGTTGTGTACATTGCAGACGTAGGAAAGACCTGAGATCTTTGTGTCCCTAGCTATTGAGTGTTCTAAGTGTGTGGACCCGCTGCGGGTGCGGACAAATCGATCGGGACGCAGGTTGAGATGGCAAATCTGTCGAGAGTGAACTAGCTATGTGAGGAGTGTGGAGGTTCTAACGGTAGTAGAGCCCGCTACAGACATCGAAGATGATGCGCGCTGCTTCCTCTTCCGAATACGTTTTCTAGGCGTTAGCCAGCGTGCGGGGAGGAACCGCGTCGCGAGTGGGGATGTAATACTGGTAATCGTCGGTGGCCTTCATGCAGAGTCCGCCGCCGCAAAATTCCTCAACTAAACAAAACAAAACACTCGCAGAACCAACAAAGAATTACATAATTGGTCGTGTCTCGGATGGCGTAGAGCGACAGAAGATTAGGGTGGCTGAGTTGCTTGCGAATCTCGAGCTCGTTGTACAAATTGTCAATGCCGTCCAGCACATCATCACTCACATCAAATGGCAATCTTCTAGAATTCTTCTTTAGAGTAGACTTGTTGATCACACGCACTAAATAGTCTTGTTGGATCCCGTTCTTGTCGATAGCAAAATGTCGAAGCACAGAATACTCATGACGAGCCACAAAGCTGTTTACCTTCACGCTAAATGTCCGATTCTCTTTTTCGCTTCTACTATTAGAGTCAATAAACATGCACACTTTAGTAGAGGAATTAGGCTGCTATTCACTTCATGATTCCCCTACAAGTCAGAGTCGAATCGTTTCCCCACCATTACTCTCACCTAAAATGCAAAATGAGGTAGATTGATTGAAGAAGCGATCTGTCCCAAAAATAAATAAATAATCGCGGGAAACAATAATCCAGTATTCTTTTCGGAATTGGATTTTCTTATTTCTGAAAATCCTAAAAGTGTTAGGGCCTTTCGAAGAGTGATTCAAACAAAAATAGAGCAAGAATCTCTCGAGCAAACAATTCCTTTTGAGTCTCATGGTAAAACACGTTCAATCAACGTGGAACTCACTCCCCTCTCTCCAAATCGCCCGAAGCCTGCATGTAGTTAATCTTCTCGATCGCCTCATCCAAATACACAATCGCCTGCTGCGTTTCCTCTCGCTTCTTCGTGATTCCCGGGTCCTCTGCCAGCATTTCCACCACCGCCTGGTCGTTAAACAATTCCTCGACCACCGTGGCAGTCATCTGCTCCATCACCTTGTTCACGAGCATATAAACAATCGCCTGCATTCTATCCATTTCCTCCTCGCTCTCCTACCTTCGGAATCGCATCGATCAGCTTCTTCCGAACGATGTCAAAATACGACTTCAAAATCCGCTTCACGATTTCCGCGGATATTTTCTTCTCCATCGCGGCCGCGTCGTTCAGCACGCTCTCCGCATCCTCCTCTCCCTCCTCCGTCGTGTGCAGCAACTGCTTCAGCGTGTCCTGATAGCGTTTTTCGTTGCTGCACGCCGTGACCCAATTGACCCAGTTTTCCGCGGTTTGCTGCTGATTGGTGCGGAATTGGAGCGTGCGAAGCTCCGCCTGGATCTCAAAGACGTACTCGCCTGCGGCCTGGTTGGCCTCCAGCATCCGCGCGGATGCGTTTTCGAGCGAGAACGAGTGGGGCTCGGAAGAAGGATCGTTTATGGAAGTGTTGTGTGCATAGGTTCTGAAAGTGACCCAAAACGGGCAAACAAACAAGATTCGATTTTGAATTTGAACAAAACGTCGCTGGTACTGGTGAAACTTGTTCCGTTTGTCCCTTCTCTTCAGTCCTCTCCCCTCCTTTACAGCCAATTCTCCACCACTGGCAGCGAATAACTCGGCGTCTGCTTCGCCTTCTTCGCTAGCAGCTCCTACCCATCACTCCCCGCGGGGATCGCCACCTTCTGCACCGCGGCGGTCGCCTCCACGCGGACTTTCTCGATGTGCGTCCCGTTGAAATCGGGATGTCGCACGTTGACCAGCGTCAATTCCATCGCCAAAAGCTGCCGAACCAGCTCCACGGTCTTCTGCGTCTGCCTACCAATCGTGGAAACCAAACGTGGAAACGAGGTAATGAGGGCTTGGAGCACGGCGAACAGCCGCTGTTTGAAGAGAGGACAGGTCGTGAAGATGGGCAAATCGACGAGCTGGAGGTCCGTGACGAGCTCTTCTTCGACCAATCGCGTGCAGTCCTCGCTGCATTCGATCGAATTCCATAACGAAACTACCAGTACGGGTAGAACGTGAGGATCCCCTTCTTCGTGAGGTTGATAAACGACTGGTCGGGCGTGAAGAGACCGCCGCTGACGCCCTGCTGATTCGCGATGTCCTGCAGAATTTCTGCACTTCAAAAGGGGAAACAAAAGGGGAAACCGGCGTCGGGGATCTCTTGCACATAGTCCAATGCGTCCATTTTCGATCGAAACACGTCTAGATCCCACCTCTCAAAAAGTGGAAACCGTGGAAAATGTATCGGATTCGCGCGCCTCCGACGACTTCTCCGATTTCGGTGGACGCGTTTCCGTCGATGAGCTGCTGATAGCGCGCAACGAACTGGTTCAGCGAATCGAAGAAGGCGATTTGCATCTGCGAGAGCGTGCTGAGCCCGACGGACATGGCCTCCAATTCCTTGCTACCACTCAGCGAGAGCCGGTTCTCTCACATTTTCTCCGCTTTGAACTCGTTCACCTTCGTGATAATCGCGGGGAGGCCCACTTTGATGTGGTTCAGCAGCAGCTGGTTCAGCTTCTCGCGCAGAAATCGCGTTCCGTTCACCCGCGCAATCGACGCATACCGCGCTCGCAAGAACTCTTCTTCGTCCCGCCACTGCTTCGCCATGCTTTTCCGCGTGTCAATATCCTTCTGCCCGCGGTTAATCACTCCCACGTACCCCAAACGCAGCGGAATCACGCGATTTGACAAAATCTCGAACGCGTCCGTCCCGCGATCCATCAAATCCAGCTTCGTCAGCACGCCTACCGTTCGCAGGCCCTCCGGATCGACTTCGCGCGCCATCTGGATCGCGTCGCTGTTCGCCAGATCCGTATTCGCGGCCGTCACCGCCATGATAATGCAGTTCGGCTGCCGAATGAACTTCAGAACCATCCGCCGAATGATCACCTCGATGTCCTTCGGCTGGTCCCCCACCGGCACTCTACATAAATCGGAGAAACAAAGGGGAACCGCGTGATTCCGGGGAGGTCGATGAGCGTCAGATTGATCACGTGCGGACTGTAGATCTTGAGAATGATGGGTCGCTCGGACACGCAGATGCCTGTGCCCGTCTCGCGGATGGTGTCCGCTTCGATTTCCTCGCGGATTTCGTCGAAATCGAAGTACTGCCGGCCCGGTTTGTGCAAAAACACGCCGAAATCTAGTCGACAGCGCGCTCCAACGCAAACCTGCGCGCACAGAGTCGTCGTAAATCAGCTGCAGGATGAGCGGGCGGCGCGTGACGATGCCGCTCCCGCGGGGAAGGAAGTCCTTGCCGACGATGTTCTCGAGAACGCTGCTTTTGCCGCTCGATTGGCCGCCGACGACGGCGATTTGGGGCATGTCGAGGACGTTGTTGCCCACGATGGCGAACACTTCTTGGATCTTGTTCACGATCTCGATGAGGCCTTGCAAACCTTCGCGTTTTTCTTTGGGTTGCGGAGCAGGAGTCGGAGGAGGCGCAGCATGATCAAACAAACGACCCTCACTGTCATAGTACACGTTTTCGTCTGCGTCTTCGTCTTCTTTTGCATTGTAACGAGAATAGTCCTCTTCGGCGTAGCCATAACGTTCAGAAGTAGATGATGAACGATGTGGACGCTGCACGATTCTAGATTCATAGGAATCCGTATAATCGTCTGGAGGAGGTGGAAGACGACGCTTATAGTCATTGGGTCGAGGAGCTGGACGACGAGGTGCCGTAGAGTCATTTGGACCTCGTCGAGAACTGCGAGATCCATAGTTATCCCTTTCCTGATTGTCGTAACGACTATACGACTCTCGAGGATAATCTTCCTCACGATCCTCATATTCACCTCTCGAATATCGGAACGTTCGATTTTCTCCCCTTCCGTAAGAGTCTTCAGTCGGTTGGCTCGATCGTCTCGAATGACTGGAATGTGTCCTAGAAATCACTCCAAAAGATTATACTATTGCCTTCTACTATGTTCAGAAGAATAGTCACCGCGATAACTACTCATAACTGAAAAAATGTGTGTGAAAAGCAGAGATTGTTGATTTAGGTAATAATAATAATAATAATAATAAAGAGGTAAATGATTAGGTGGATTGCAAATATGTGGGGGTTCATATATAATGCGACGATACGAGATTCACGAAAATAGGTGTAGAAAGAAATGCTCGCTCAGATTTATGTACCAACACAAGTCTCTACATCATGTCCCGAAAGACATTTTGAACTCAGCCGTTTCGTCATCATAGCGAGAATATCACCGATTTTTAGTACCTTCCTATCATCCCTTGGAGTTTCCATCAGATTTGGCTAACACAGTCATAATCGGTTTTACCGGTCCGCCCTGCGTTTCATTGTCGCGAGGCCAAACCAGTCGTTGAATTCCAAATCGATGAATCTATTGGTTTTCGATTCATCGATATGGAAATAAGAAATACTTTCTCACAAAATCACCTGGAGTTTCATTATTGTACTTCGTACCAGATTTGTGTAAACGCAAATGAGTTTAATTCAGAAGTTTTACTGCGCGCTTGAGCCGATTATGCTCTACTGTATGGAAGATTGTTTTGGTGGTCCCAAAATATTCAAGGTGAAGACAGCGGTGAATCTGCAGGTATCGATTGTCGTTATTCATACTTTCTATTAGAAAGGAGGAACGTTTATCTATGTCCTCTTGTTGATGTTGATTTTCAAGAATACTTCTCTTCAACTTCTTTTGTACATATCCATTAAAACAGAATCACTACAGTGCTTTTCTTCACAAGTACTGGGCATTGCATGGTTCCTATGGACTCATTTGGCTCTTAAAAAGTGCGGTTATGCCAGATCCTGCTTTTGAAAAGAGTTGCACGATTGGATCGAGTATTGGTGCCAGTAGGACAGTTGTAGAATCGTTACATAGTGGTTTTCATTCTAATTCCTTACTGGGTTGCTCCTTATTTGATTGCAGCAGGTTATACGACTGCTCCGCCAACTGTTGTCATGGCGATCTGTGTGTTAATGCACAATTTGGGAGTGGCAATCATGATGGTGTCAGGTAGGACTAGAGCATTCCTATTCAACCAGATGCTCAGAAATACTACACTCTACAGTATAAGAAGGGACTGATCATGGATGGAATGTACAAATACATTCGAAGTCCTAATTACCTCGGTGAAGTTCTTATTTATTCTTCATACGCTCTCCTGTCCAATGTGAAGAGTGGCAATGAAGCGATAATGCGTAGCATTGGCTCCCGTGGATAATTCTGTTCTATGTATGGGGAACGGTGTTTGCCACCCGCATCATAACCAAAGAAAAGCGAATGGAGCGGTAGAAGATGTGGAATCGATTGAATATAGTCATCCGGAGTGGGAAGAGTATAAAAAGCGAACTAACACGATCTTACCGATTCGTTTTTTCATGCACTTTTTTGAAAAGAGTAAATCTGACTCTTGTGTTTGTTGAATAATCTGTGGTACATTGATTGGTGACGAGAAGATAAAGAGTTCAGAGTTATGCTATCATTGTAATGTGACGAAGAGAGAAATCCTTCTTGTAATCTACGCAGTAATGAATAGTACTTCGATTGGAATACACGTCTTTGAAGATAAAAGAACGGTTTATAATATGATTTGTAACAGTTTTTCTAGTTACTGTGACTATATTTTATTAAATAGATGATTGCCTTTGTATGAGGAAACAGTGATGCACTTTGAATTTGGTAAAAGTTAAGACACATTTACTATTGCACTTAGTATAATAATGAACAACATGATTGAAACATAACACACAAATAATCATTCACAATAACTCAAAGCCTTGAAGAGAATCTGAGCGTATCACATAAATTGGATTGTGAAGACTATGTCTGCTTGATTTTGACAAGATCAGCGAGAATGGAAGAAACATCTATAAACGAAATAAAACCAATCAAGCAATACTCAGAATTGATTTCGATCGAACTTCCTGGAATGAATCAGGTAGCTTTATTTGTTGAAGATTTGGAATATCTAAACATTATCAACATTCAGCACTTTTCAAAACTACTTTCCAATGTCACCGCACAATAATAACAAAAACTCCATCCATCAGAAATAAGTGATGTCAGATTAGGAAGATCTATGCATTCAATCATTTCAAATCATTTCATATATACTTCGCATTCTCAAGGAACATCCATAAATATTACTTCCACAAAGTGCAGCATAACCGAGTGTAATAGATTGTAATGATGGAAGATCTATATCAGTCATTTCATTCACATTCATTCTATACTTTCAATTATTGTGCAGCTGGATCCACTGAATGCAGTATATCCCAGGGTGATTGATTGTAAATTAGGAAAATCTAATCATATTATATTCATAATCACATCAATACCTCGAATTATAAATGAACTACCAAGGAAATTGTTTGAGTAATTTCTGAACACTCCAATTTTGATAGATTTTAGTTGTGGGCAATTCTTCAATTCAAAGTCTCCTCCAAAATCACTGAAACTATATCGAGCAATATCAATCGACTCCAATGATTCACAATTCAATATGTGGAAGGATTTCCTAGTATTATTCCCATTGCAATTCTTTTTTTCAGTAAATGCATTTTCTCCTATTTTCAAGGTTTTCAATCGATTCAATCCATCGATATTGAACGTTTGCACTCTTTTGAAGCATTCTATACCAACTTCAATTGATTCCAACCATTTGAATTTGTTTAAGTCTAGTACATTTATCTCGTTACAGATAAAATTAGTTGTCACCAATTCCGTTACGTTCAAATCCATTTCATTCAATTCAGAACTATTGTTCACTTCAATTCGTTTGGAAGGCACATTTACAATTGGTTCAGTTTTCATTTCACTCAGATTTTCATTCTTCAATACACTTCGAATACTTTCATTCATTCCTTTCACATACCAACCTTCATACAATTGAATTCCTCCATCCTTTTCTTTGCCATGTTCCCATTCACTTTCACGAATTGCTGTTCCACTGCTTTCATCAAGCAAATATCCCAATCCATTTCGGACAAATTTACCATTTTCGATACTATATCCTCCTATATATACTGGAATTCGATTCAATATTTCATCATTACTATTCTCATCATCGTTTTCAGCATATTCGATCATTTGGTTATTATCAACATCAAATTCACGAATCATTCGAATCAATTTGTCTTTTGACCAATATCCTTCTATCTTTTCTTTACCATCATTTTCTATATCATATTCGATTCCATAACCATTTCGATTCATTTCTTCATCAAATCCACCTCGATAGATCACAATATCACCATCATCATTCTCTTCATCATTATCATTTCCACGCTTACTTCGAATTGTCATCATCAATCCTTTTTTACTATTTTCTATCATTCTTCGATCTCCATCATTTCCGAGAATCGAATTCCAGTTTTCTTTTTGTAATGCTTTACCATTTTCATATTCAGTTAATTCACCGATTCGTTTACCATTTTTCATCATCCATGTAAGGCTCAAGATTCCTCGATTGAATAATTGGCAACGACCTTCTACTTTACCCTCTTTCATTTCACTCAACAAATACTCATTGGAATGATCTCCTTGAAATAGAGTGACTTCATATTGTACCCCATTATGGGAAATAATCTTCTTTTCCCTGGTAATGTAGTCATTGAGTAAGTATCTAGATTCTCTAGATTGTTTTAACGAATCTATATTTTGATTTTATCAATAATAAATACAAGAAAATTGGTTGGCCATAGTAATAAATCGTTTATGCCTTATATCAGCCATATGAAATGCACGTGACATACGGCTTTTTATTGTGCGCTACAATAGAGTAATTCATTTTTAAAATAAATAATATATTCAACAAATAACAATTCTCTTATGTATAATCAAAGAAAAAAAAGAATTGCGAACTTATTAAAATATATTACCAAACACGTCTAAAAGACATTATATGGATGTAGTTTCAGTATATCGATAATAATGTGCCAACAGAATACTAATTGGAAGGGAGAAAATAGGTGGAAATGCGATCTTTCTATTTTGGTATATGCTAGGTATATCTGCTTAAAAGAATTAAATATATTTGGTTTATCGTTTCACTTTCGTTTTTGTCACATCACGTAATGTGTTTTATGTCAATAGTTGTAATTGTAGAATATAGGAATTAGAAATAGTAGAATGGAACGATCAGAATTCATTGTGCATGTCTGATGATGTTGTTGTTCCAACAACGTGTTAATATACATCTATGGAAATAGATTGCATTATATTATACATTTTCTATAGGCTTTGTGAAAAGAATAAAAGAGAAGCTTAATGAGTGGTGGCAAACAGTCGTGAGTATGTGAAACCATTATTATTATTAGTGGACACTATATTAGTATTAGTTAGGCATATGTACTGATGAGTATACTATAATTGATATTTCTTATGGTAATTGTGATAAATGAACAATCCTAACAATAATTATAAAAGTAAATCATTATATTTATGTTGTAGTATTACCGTTTGATAATAGTGTACATGGGAGATAAAAAAATCCAGTAAAAGTATTTTATACTGCAATCAAATACTATATGTTCGTTTCTTATTTTTGGTTTTAAATATTACATTTTTTAATGAATTCATCTACGGATTCTGGAATTCAATCAAGTTGTATAGTCGAAATAGCACCATTGAACGTGTCTCATGACCAGGGAAACAAATCGGGGTTTGAGGTTGATATTTGGAGTTGGTGTATTGCTAATCAATTTCCCATTAGTACTATAAAAAATACTGATAGTGAGAATGTGATTCTGAACATTGGTTCTCCACATCAAGGTTATACTATTCAAACGAAGATGAAAGATGGAAAATTAAATGGAAAAGCTACTCTCAAAACAGAGAACAATACGATAATAGCAGAATTCGAGTATCAAAGTAATGAGATAAAGGGACAATGTATATTGTACTATGATTCAGGCGAATTATATTTTGAAGGGAATTTTGAAAATGGGTATCGTCAGGGATTTGGAAAAGAGTATGATAAGAATGGGAATGTGATATTTGAAGGGCGCTTTGAAAAAGGATGTAGGGTCCGTCAGTATGAAAGAATGGATGGAATGGAAGGTTATTGGAAAGAATTGGATGGGAAAGGAAATGTGATTTCGATTTGTCACAAGAATGAAAATGGAATGAATGAAGGATTGTGCTACTTTTATAAAGCAGGATTACTGGACCGAGCCAGTATTTGGGAAAACAATGAAGAAATAGCGATTTTATATCGATTTGAAAAGGATATAATGATCGAATACAAAGATGGTGTAAAGTGTTTTGAAGGATACTATGAAGGTTCCATTGAGACAGGATTTTCTCGAGTATCTGGAAAAGAATATGATCAGGATGGCCAGAATGTTATTTATGACGGTGAGTTTGAAAATGGAAAACGGCATGGATTGGGAACATCTTTTAAAAACAATATAATAGAATATGATGGAGAATGGGTGAAAGGACAACATAAAAGTCTGTATGCTATGGTAAATTTAATACTCCCTTCAGTATCTTGGTTATGTGTCTCCACATATACATTTACCAACCCTCTTGCTATAATAGTGGTGTTATTCCTGGACATTATATATATCCCTGGTCTCATCTTTTTATTTTTCAATTATATAAGGAGTATTCGATCTATATATAAGGTAACAAGATATTTCAAGCCAAGTATTCTAGATAGGCTGTATACATATAAAGATGAATGTGCTACATTTGGAGATGGGGTTTGTAATCAAGTAACAACCTGCAAAATCGATGGATTGAATCGATTGAAAACGATCAAAATCGGAAACAATTCATTTACTCAGAAAAAGAATAGGTATGGAAATAATAAATCGAAATCATTCCACATATTGAACTGTGAATCATTGCAATCGATTGAAATTGGTGAATACAGCTTTACTGACTTTGCTGGAGAATTTGAATTGTGGAATCTACCACATTTACAATCTATTCAAATTGGTACAATTGGAAATGATTCATACAATTTCTATTTTAGTTCATTTGTGATTCGAGGTATTACTATAAGAGTGAATATTTCTTATCATTAAATCTTCCAAATCTTCAATCCATTACATTAGGTAATAGTGCATTCTGTGCATCTGTTTCAACTGTAATCGAAAGTAATGAATGAAAATGAAGGACATAATGAATCTAGATCTTCCATCATTACGATCCATTCAACTCGGTACTAATGCGCTTGCTGGGATAGGTAATGAAGATGAATCTTGTTCCTTGATAATGCGAAGTAATAATGAAATGATTCAAAATGATTTAAATAGACCTTCCGAATCTAACATTTATCCGTTCTAAAAGTGAAAGTTTCCGTTTTGCTCGTGTAGTGACATTGGAAAGTATTAGGGATGATATATATTACGATAGTATTTAGATATTCCAAATCTACAACAGGTTGATTTGCCATATGCATTCGAAAGAGTTAATTCGAAGTTGATTTCTAGTATTATTTTCCTTGATTTGATTTCATCCATAGATATTTCTTCCATTCTTGCTGATCTTGTCGAACTTAAAGCAGATAGCAAAACTGGTGTGACGTCTTTGTGAAATGCATATTCATAAAACAATAATGTTGTTTGTTCAATGCATATTCTTATCCCAAATTACTCTTCTATCATATTGGTTCGAGTGTCAATGTGTATTATCATGCCATTTTGAGTCGCTTATGCCTATAGATATTTCTGCAATTCCATTAACTCATTACATTACATTTCATTTCATTCATTCATTCATTCATGCATTCAAAATAAGACATAGTTATACCATGTAATAGCAGTATTTTTCCATAATATGATACATAAATACATTATCATTCTCTCCAATAGCAGGTTTATGAAATGTTAGTCATATTATCAAAACCATTTCTGTTCGAATAATTCTTTTATTTTGTTAACAAATGGTTTCAATATGGCACTTCTTCTTGATTTAGTTTAAAATACATACATATATGGATAGTTAGAAAATCTTTCACTTCACACTTAACGCAATTTATCCCCCAATACCTATTCCACACCGGATTTTAATTCTAATACAACGGACAAAAAGTAAACTATATTTTAGCTATAATAATGTTCCACTGTCTTTCACTTTCAGTATTGTCAATCAGAATAATCTCTGCTTCTCTATGCTTCTTCCAAAAACAAGCAGTAGTCAATTTGTGTAAGTCACCCATCAGAATGATACCCGCATTCTTGTATTCCAAGAACTTTCTTGTCGTTAATATTTCAAACATATTACTATATTCCATTATATCTGTCATTAGCAATTCATTATTATAGTTATCTCTCTATTTTGTTTCATGAGTGAGCTAAATGCAGTGTTGTCTGAGCATTTGTGTTTAGAAGATGTGAATATTCCTTCATCTGCCAAATCCTTAACTCAGGTTGTTTCTTCGTTTTTTCTTGATAGAATAGATTTCAGATAGCACCAGAGAAAGAGGTGGAAGTGAAACGATTGAATCTACTGGCTTTTCCGAACCATCAAGTTGTATACGAACTAATGATGATAAATGTGATCACTCGGAGATTCAAGATAATTGCCATTCTGTTCTTACATTAGATAGTAAAGCTAGTTGTAATTCAGCTCCAGAAAAGTCTGATCATAATGCAAATATTACTGTACAGCTTGCTACGAAGCCGAATGAAAGAAAATCAGGCTCTATGAGTCATGAAGCCGAATTAGCTTCCGAAGATATTACTAGGATTTTGCCTGATTTGGAAAAGATGTCTCTGGCCGATCTAATGTCTCTGTGCAAAATATATCGAGATAAAGTAGTGTCCGAAGACAGTGTTGGCGATGTGCGGATTCTTCAAGAAATAAATCGCGTGTTATCGCTACGAATTAACAGGCCAAGTTGTTCAGTTGGGAAGAAGGACTGTTCTCCTCAACCAAAGTCATCATTAGAAGCAAACACTGTATCACATAAGGATTCTGGAACGGTTTCTGTGAATTTGAGTATTCTTTCTAACGACTCTCTGGAGCTCAGTGCGCTGAATGAAAACGAGGATGAGCTGCTTCTCTCACGATCCTTGAGAAAAGCGTCAGAAGACTCGAGCGGGGCTACGTTGCAGTTTAGCCGTGGAGAAAGTCCCGTTTTGACTGGGTTAGAAGAGATTGAGTTGATTCCAGTGGATGATGATTTTGTGATGGAGCGAGTGGATGGAGAGCACTCCAAATATGAGAGCTTTCACTCTCTCGAACTGAAACACGCACGAATTCGTCGGAGAGATGAGGTGGAGGCTGATTCCAAACGAGTTCACTTATCTGTTTGACTTGTACCATATTTTTATCTCTTTTATTTTATCACTTATTTTTGTTTGTTTGTTTGTTTGTTTGTTTACTTATTTACAAACACGAAAAACCATTAAACAAGGACCCGGTTAAAAGCAAGACCTCCAGGAGCAGTAACATTGGTAGCTACCTTTCCCTTCTGTCCGTCTGTGACATCAAACTCCACCTATGCATCAAGAACGTCTCGAACACGTACACTTTCACCCTCTTTCAAGAAACGGAAACCACTGCTCTTGATACTACTCTGGTGAACGAAAACTACATGTTATTCACAAAGAGTATCCTTACTATCTGTAGTAAGGTCACTGCCAGGATCAGGAATGATAAAACCATATCTATACGTAATTTAGTGTACAGAAAATCATACCCCTTCTTGTTGTTGAACCACTTGCACTTTCCAGTGTACACATAACGTAAACAAGCAGCTGTTCTCTAAAACCATTAATCTCCATAAATCGCAGAGTACGGGAACGACAGATGTTACAGACTTTACCAAACCAAACATCCTACCGCGAAATATTTCTTAAGTAGTTTCTACTCGTTCTGCAACAACCGCGGTTATTTCATCAATTTTCAAACAAACTCAAAAAACTATTTTTTTCTTTCATTTATTAATTAATTAATTAATATCTACAAAAGCAATGAGCAAAACACTTATCGAACAAAACGTGATCTATCTATCTATCTATCTATTCATAAGAGATATATGTATATGTATATGTATATATAAAGTGCAAAAATGCTTTGAGTAATGATCAATCACTTCTTCACCCAAATATCGTTTTCAGAAACACAGGGAGTGTGTACTTCATTCCAAGAAAAGCCCAGAACAAATACTTTGTCTCCATTGTCTTCTTCATTACTCGGATTGGAATGCACAATCACAGAGGGAGAATCCGAAGTTCGTTCCGGCTGCTTTACACCGATTAGCTCAGGTGTTTTCTTCTGGGTTGGAAGTAAGGAGGGAATCAATTCCGAAGGAGTTCGGTGTTTTAACGGTTTTGAAAGACGCGGAATTCGAATGTCTTGCCGCGGACGCGCGTTCAAAATGGTGAACGCATCTGAAGAAACATAATGCAAGTCGGACATACCGACGTCAATGTTATTATCGTACACAATCGGGTTGATAATAGGAACACTTGGAGGGGGTGGAACGATCTGAGGAATTGGGAGGTAACTTGGCGATTGGTAATACGGGTAGTAATACTGAAAACAGGGCTGGCTTGGGACGTTCTCGACCATCTGCACCCCCACAGGAGGAGTGAAGGTTAGATCAGGTCCCAAGCCACTTTGCGAACCTGAAAGATAGCTAGACGGAACCGACTGGTCACTGGAGTCGAGTTCCTTGCTATCATACGAGATGTTTCTGTTTGAGACCAGGGATGGATTCCCAGCAGGATACCAGGGCTTCAGCATGGAAAAACCTGTTTCCACCATCTTCGATGTCTCTGGAAAAGCGCTTTTGTCCTCCTGGGCACCACTCTGCAATTTACCCTTCTTCTTACATTCTCCTACAGGTAGCAACTCGCTCCTCGGTCTCTTTTTCGAAATCGTTGAATTATAGTACTGCACTGTAAAAAAACTTTCTCCGCCTTCCATAAAATTCAAACAAACACAAAGCTTAAAAAACATCGCAACTCCACTTTTTCCACGTCTTATCATGCGAGCACGACACCACGCCCACCTTGTTCGTCAAGAAGTCCACTCCCGTAACACTCCCATCATGCCCCTCCAATGTCTTCACGCACTGAAAATTTCGCGTCGACCACACTACTCCTCGCTCCTCCTCCTCCTCTCCTACCCTTCACCGTCCGATCGAACCCTCCGCTCACCAAGAACTCGCCAGACGCATCGAACCGAATATCCGGAATCACATTTCTGTGCGCCGGCACCGTATAAACCGCCTTCTGCTTCCGCAGATCCCACATCTTCACCGTGTTGTCGTCGCTCGCCGTCGCCAGCTACCCTTCACCGCGGTTTTCGGACCTACTTGGAACCCGTTCGGCGCGAAGCGGCAGCACAGCATTCCCTTCGCGTGGCCCTGCGCGTCACCGCTCACCGCTCCGTCGCTTACCTGCAGAACCAGCGCGCTGCGCCCCGATCGAAGGTCCCACACGCGGCACACGCCCGATTGATCGCATGTCGCCGCGAGGCTCCCGTCGCGCTGAAATGATAAGCCCATGACGTCACGTGCGTGACCGTCCTGGAGGAGCAGCTGGTTCCCCGTTTCCACGTCCCAGAGACGAAAAGAAGAGTCGAGACTGACGGTGCCAACGAAGCGGCCTGGGGTGAGATACGAGAGAAAGAAGGACCTGAGGGGTGGAAGGCCACCGCGCTGACGCGATTGATGTGTCCGGAGAGCGTGTGGACCAGAGACGGATGATCATCATGGATGCACCAGAGCTTCGCGGTTTCTAGGGAGAGAGCGTGAGAAAAAAGTACTGTCCAGCGAGGACGTTGCGAAAACGGGCGCGGAGCTCTGGTTGACGAGGACGCCGTGATCGAGATGTAATGTCGAGGTGGGGCTCCAGCTGACGCAACACACGCGGCCATCGTGTGCTTTCCACGAATAGATCCGATCCGTCGTGTCGACGTTCCAGAGCCGGACCTCGCCGCCGAAGCAGCCGGTGAGGAGCAAATTCGAGGCGATTTCTGGATTTCCATTATTCAAATCGCAGCACGAAATCGGACGGTCGGCGCCGAACTGAGAGGACTCCACGAAGAGGTTCTAGAGATAAGAGAGGGAAAGAGAGAGAAGGGACGCTGTATTGGTCCCAGAGAGCTTTGGTCTGAAGTTCGTGCGATCGAAGATAATCCATGTCGGTTTCCTCCTTCCGCTGACGTTCCAAGCGCTCTTTGCATCTGCAATATGAGTGAAAGGAGCGTGGGATGACTTTTCGATGGAATAGGAAAATATGAACTGACGAGCCGCGATGAGCTCGGGAGCGGCACGCGTATATACAGTCTCTTTCGGTTTCGCTTCTTCTTTCACCGTAGAGGAGTTCTGCTCTACTATTTCTCGCTGCAGAGCCAAATCTTCTTCGGTTGGCGTTTTCCGTATTAATATATTGCGCAGTCGGCTTCGTCGATCGCCAGGACCTTCTCCGAACAAGCAAATAGGCTCTCCACACGCACGAAGCTAGACATGAGACCGTTGCACGAGGTGAATAGCATACCTGCAACTTTACGTCTTCATCAAGCGTTGGGATCGATATTATCCTTCCCTGGATCAATGTTTCTAATGCCATCGAAAAACTACTTCATTCAATTGATATTGAGACTTCATACTTTAGGAAATAAAAATAGGTATGAAAATCCTTTACACAACCGACAGTGAAGGTTTTCCTTAGAAATGTTTGTATGAGTTGTACCTATTATAGTTTGTTATGTTTGCAGGAAATCCAAGATGAATCGATGTGAATCGGGCATGTATATATCCAAGTAGAATTTCTAAAACAGATCCGAAGTAGTATAGTGGTTTAGTATTTCCGCCTGTCACGCGGACGACCGGGGTTCGATTCCCCGCTTCGGAGTTCTTTTTTGCTTTATTATTTATTATTCACAACATTTCATGTTTATTGTTATTACTATTTGAAGCCTGTTGTAGTATATCCTACTCGCTATATTGTGTAGCATACAATTCCACACAAACTACCTCTCTCTCTCTCTTGTTACCATTCCATAACCTATTATTATTATTATTCCACTTTCATTCATTCATAATTATTTCTCCAACAAACACAACTATTCCTCAATGTGTGCCTTTTTCGGTGCTTCTTCTCCCTTCTGCTGCATCTACTCATCATCCCCAAACCGCATCCCGACAAGCTGACGTTCCTTCAGCTCCTTCTCCACATCCTCGCGTACAGGATCAAACCACTTGTGCGCCATCGCCTCCTTGGCGGTCAACCGATCCTACAAACAACATTTCCCTCCATCACCCACATTATGGTCATAAACCAGCGTTTTATCAAGGTAGTCAAACAGATCGTCATTTATAAATTTCTTTGTCGAGGGATTGATGAACTCCTTCCAATTCCGTCGCGGGAAGTACGACAGCAGGCTTTTGGTCTCCCGGTTCAGCCGTAAGTTGTATTTCTCGATGTACTTGTCCAGATCCGCGCTGCCGAGCACCTCCGAGATCTTCCGCAATTGATCGTAATTGTCCTTGCCTCGGAAGAACGGCGTCTTGTTGAACACGATACCGAGGAGCATGCACGACAGGGACCAAATATCGAGGGAGTAATCGTAGTACTACGGACATCAGCATTTCATTACGCTGCCCACGTTGTCGTTCGTGAGAAGCTCCGGTCCCTTGTAGTTCCGCGTACTCACACGCACGTTGTATTTCTCGTCTAGAGCGTCGGAGGGCAAGAGTGTTGATACGAGGCTTGTAGTAGTCGGCGAGGCCCCAGTCGATAATGAACACTTCCTTCGTGTTGATATCGATGAGAATATTCTGGGGCTTGATGTCGCGATGCATGATTCCTCGGCTGTGCGCATAGTCCAGCCCCTACAGTGAACATACAGCACAGCAAATACGATCAGGATTTTGTAGAAATAGTAGCGAAGCTCGTAGTCGGTGAGACCGAAGTAGAACTCCTAGAATCAGCAGCCCATTGAGTGAAAAAAACCTTAAAATCCTTCGATTCCACCCAGCGAGTTATCAAACTAGGAGCATTCGTTGTGGGCTCACGCACGGTCGCCAGTAGCTAGGAATAAACAAATCTAGACAGGAAAACAGGGAGAATCGACGGACCGCCGGAAAGCTGCTGCATGATCTTGATTTCGCTGAAACGTCACGCTATGGATCCGAAACTTACCGCTTGATCTTTGCAAAACGCACTGGCTTGAGGTACTTGATACTAACAGCATCTCCTGTCTGAACATCGATTCCCTTAAACACTTCACTGTACTTGCCTCTTCCCACCTTGCGGATGATTTGGTATCGTTCCGGAGAACTAGAGCATATCGCACAGGTCCAAGGAGGCATACTCCCACTTAATGTCCACCGCGTCGTAATCGGCGTATTCTGGGGGCATGTTCGCCACTACATCGGCATACACACGCGAAACACTCAACTCAGCACCCTGCATTGCGAAAATTGAAATCCATGCATCCATGCATCCATCTGTCTGTCGGTCTGCAACAAACACATCGTTCGGCAGTTATAGTATAGTTATAATGGTTTTATTTTTATTTTTATTTTGTATGGTTCAGTAAAGGAACGAGGGCGCGTCTCCCTCAAATAGCGTTTACAACGAGTTCCTGTTTGGTCCCCGCGGTCCGTTTATACGCCGGAAACGGCGCTGCGTGCGGCCTCCAGAACGACTCTCTGCCATGATTCCTCCTCTCCACGCCTACTTGGCAGCCTCTGTGCCCACCGACGCGGGCTGCAGGGGTGCCGGCTGCGCCGCGCCCGCGGCCGATCGGATCAGCGGCGCGGGCTGCGCGCTGGAGTCGTCGCGGACGGCCTGGATCAGCGGGGCCAGCGGGGCCGAGTGGAGCAAGGGCGCGGGCTGGACGGGGATCAGCGGCGCGGGCTGCGCGGAGCTACGCAGGTTGGGAATGATGGGCGCGATGGGCGCGGGCGCGCTCTGCGAGGGGGACGAGGCCCCGGACACCGAGGGAACCAGAGGAACCAGAGGAACCAAGGGAACCAAGGGAACCAAGGGAACCGAGGGGTCTTGAGAGTCGCGAGAGTCGCGAGGAGACCGGGAATCTCGGGAGTCTCTGGAATCTCTGGAGTCCCTGGAGTCCCTGGAGTCTCGGGGGGACTTGGAGGCGGGCGGCTGCAGGCGGGCGCGCTTGGCCAGATCGCCGAGGTCGGGACTGGAGTCGGAGAGCGGCGTGCGCGGCCGCCGACTCGCAGCGCGCTGCTCGGCGCCCGATTCCTTCGATTGCTGGGCTTTGAGGCGGTAGGAAAGCTCGTGGCGCTGCCGGAGAATGTCTGCGCATGAGGCGGAATGCAGGGAACGACTTTGCACCTCGGAGTCGGAAAGGCCCAGCGAGGCCAGCCAGGACGGACGGTAGAACGCCTTCAAGTGGGCGATGTGCTTCTCCGAGGCGTATTGCACGGCAGCAGCGGCCAGGACTTTGGGCTCGTAGACAATACAGAGCCAGGAAGAGAGTCTTGGGAAGAGGGAAAGAGAGAGACGTACACAATGTCAAGAAAAAAGCGAATGAGGTGGACAAAGTCGACGTCCTTCGAGGGCAAGCTCGGCAGACGCTTGTTCACCTCCTCACAACACACTCCTAAAGATGGTGGAGGCTACGAACCACTACCATATGCCGCGTGACAGCACTTCTGCACATACTTATGCGGAATGTTGAGAGTCAGGTCAAAGTTGATCCCACTGAGTACGATGCACTCCATTCGAGGCAAGATGTACTCCATAGTCTCTGTACTCTAGAGATAATGAGTCGAATGCATATCGACTCGATCACATTTATCCCTCCACGACGGATAAGTGATCCTTAGGAATTCTTTGACCGACAGTGCTCGCCACTCTTTCGAATCTTGGACCTTTAGGGCAAGATAGCAGCATGCTAACGCAGTGTCCTATGCTTTACAATCCTCAGAGAGGATTTACAACATAGTTAAACGTATGCCAATCCATCTTTGAATAAAATTTTTGAAAGAATAGTCGGGCATAATGCCTCGCCTTCAGGCAAGTGCAAGTTAAGGGGCCTATGGAACGCAATCTTTTGGATATACAAAATTTCTATTTTCCCTCCCGAAGGATTCCTCGACCTTACTAATTGCTTTGTCAACGAACGCACTCCCATTAAACAAGAACCTAGATCCTCAACGGACACAACACTTCACATACAAAAGTAACTCAAGGTTCGAGTCGTTTGAGGCGCCCAGAGTAGTAGAATAAGACGGGGACATCGTATTTGGAGATTCCATATCGAAATGAATGAACTTATCAGCAAAGGCAAAATGAAAAGAGAAAGACAACAAGCAGCTTCAATTACGTTTATCAAGTCAAAGACTATCAAGCACGCAAAAGAAAGATGCGAGTACACCTTTTTTATGGACACGGAGTTTGAGGAACCGTTTAATCGATTGATGTCCAAATAACCGCGGTTCTAATGATGGTCCAACGAACCATCGCACACAGAAGCACTCCAGCTTCAGAAACTCGGTCCGCTCCTTTAGAACCATGTCAACTCCCTCCATGTACAGTGCACGAGTTTCGATTTCGGTCGAAAGTGCTGGCAACCGTTTCGCTATTCACCACATGCATTGTGCTGCAACCAAACAGCAAAAATCAACAAAACACAAAAAGGTAAAAATAGTCCAGTTTTTTCTGGACCGTTTTCAAAAAAAATGGTGGAGGGTCGATTGACAATTCGTTTTGACAAAAAGGAATTTGTCGCGAACTATAACGAATCCAATAAGATTGGTTGGTTACGGCAATACCTTTCGGTCGTCCCACTTTCGAAAATTGATATGTAGAATCAAGTGAAAATACCTGCAAACGAAATCTGTATTGTTATTAATGGAGTTCTTGCCAATGAGAACAAGACCTTTTGGGAAGCTAAGGTCACACCCAGTTCGGTCGTGGAGATTTACCGGAAACTGAAAGAAACGCTTGTAAAAATCAAGTTTCAAGGAAAAGTGTACGAGTTCGTTGCTTCCGACCATTCTACGATGGCGGAACTGATCGAGGAAGTGATTGTAGAGGAATCTTCGTCGATTAACACTAGAATGGAGACAGTTCGATCACAGACATGACTCCTTCACACTACGTTTTAGCTCTGAACGGACGTATCCTCCCCGGAAATTACACGATCAAGAAGGCAGGTGTATCCCTTCGAGATGAACTCGTGATGATCTCTGGTTTGCATCTCATCCATCCGCGCGATCCGACGTTTGACCATCTTCACTCGCAGTCGGTCGAGTTCCGAAGGAGCTTCCGCGATTCCATCACCTCCGAAGACTCGGTGTACTCCGCCATGGTGAACCAGTCCTGCCTGCAAGAGATCGAAGATCTGCGGCAGGAGCTGGAAGATCTTCGCAAGGAGGTCCAGACGGGGGGTGGCGATGACTCGCGGAGCTTGACCTCGCACGGCAGCGTGGACGGAGGCGAGGTCAGCGGTGGCTCGAAGTCCGACATCGCGCTCTTGCGCAAGAAAATCGAGGCGTATGAGCGATCTGCTCACGAGAGCATGTCGAAGTGGAACGATCGCATCGCTGAGTTGCAGGCCTCGTTCGTCCAGCTGCGTCGCAAGGTGGACAACCTCTCGCAGGCCTCGCTGACGGGCGGCGGAGCGAGCGGAGGCTCTGCGGGGCAGTCGTTTTCGTCGTTGCAGCTGAATGATTTGGAGAAGCAGGTGAACTCGATGCAGCAATTGCTGGGAACGCCGACTTCGAATCAGGATATTTCGGTCACGAAGCAGATCGCCGTCATGTCGGCGCGGATGCAGACGATCCAGCGCGATATCGGCAATCTGAAGACGGACACGGAGGATATTTATGATCGCTTGGACTCCTTACCGAATCAGCCAGTCGACCAATTGCCGGACGAAGACACCGCGTCGCTCATGACGTCGCTGATGTATCTCAAAGAGGAGGTCGCGGAGAACAAAACGCTCGCCACCGGAATGATCAACGACTGCGAGAAGCGACTTACGCAGAAGCTGAGTGCGGTGGAAATGCATGTCGCTGCGCAGAAACCGAGCGGGTTGGGAAGCGAGTCGGCGAGCGAAGAGCGGCTGGCGGAGCTGGACACGCGACTGAAGAGCTTGGAGATGGAGACAGCGATGGCGAACGATGTGGAGAGTCGCTTGGGAGCGTTGGAGCAGTCGGTGCAGAGCAGATTGAGCGAGCTGGAGGACGTGAAGGAGAGGGCGGAGCGGCTGGAGTCGTGCGTGGAGGGAGTGAAGCAGACGGTGGAGGAAGTGAAGCAGAGTCAGGAGGAAGAAGCGAGTCGAGAGCAAGGAGGAAGAAACGAGGAAGGCGAGATGGAGCTGGTGAAGCTGGACGTGCAGGCGCTGCAGGGCGAGGTGGCGGCGCTGAGGGAGGACTGGAGCGAGATCGAGCAGGTGCGGAACGATCTGCAGGCGGTGCAGGGGGCGGCGGATGCGATCGAGGACGTGAAGAGAGACGTGGAGAGTCTGCAGCAGACGGTGGGTGCGGTGGACGACGTGAAGAGAGACATGCGGAGCATACAGAGAGCGGTGGACTCGATCGACGACGTGAAGAGAGACGTGCAGACGCTGCAGCTGACGCTGGGCGGAATGGAAGGCACCGCGCAGACGATGGAGGCGATGCGAAAAGACATCGCGGCGCTGAAGAACGATCTGGCGGAGATCGATGAGCTGCGGAACGACGTGCAGATCGCTCAGCAGTCCATTACTCAGATCGATGAATTGCGGAACGACGTGCAGAACGATCTCGAGGCCATTCGACAGGACCTTTCCAATCTACAGATCGATTTGGACAACGCCAAACAAACCAATCTGCAGATTTCCACCATGCAGCAAACCATGAACGGAGTGGACGAAACGAAAGAAATCATCGAATCGATGCGACAAAACATCGACGAATTGAACGGACTGCGCAGCGACGTGGAATCGGCGATGGCGAATTGGAAGGATTTGGACTCGCTGCGATCGGATGTGGACGAAATCCGCGGCGAAGTGGAATCGATGAACAACGAAATGAAAAATTCGACGACGTCGTCGAGCGAAATGCTGAATGAAATGGAGCGAATGAAGAAAGAATCGATGGATCTTTTGAAATCGACGTCGGACTCGGCGTCGAATTGTCTGTCTGCAATGAATCGCGAAGTGGAATCGATGAAAGACGAGGTGAAGAAAGTGTGCGCGCTGCACGACGAGCTGAATGAATCGATGGAGACAATGAAATCCAATCTGGACGCCGCTCAACAATACGCCGAGGAGTGTGCTCGCAGCACGGCGGAATGCAATCGCAACGCCGACGAGGTGCTGAAGACATCCGAGTCCGTCACGGCGATGCTCGATGAAGTCTCTCGCATCACCGCTGAGGGCTCCCAATCCGCCTCCGCTTCGAACGAGCAGCTCGCCGCCGAGCTCCGTCTGCTCAGCACGCAGCTGAACCAGGTCAAATCGCAGTGCTCCGCCGCTACCGAAGGCGTCTCGCAGGCGATGAGTCAGGCGGACGAGGCGAAGCAGAAGACGGAGTCGCTCTCGAAGGCGTTGGAAGGCGTGGAGGAGGACGTCTCGGCGACGAAACAGTCCGTTAGCGGCGTGTCGAGCGCAGTGGAGGAGCTGCAGAGCGGCGTGTCGGACGCAAAGCAGATCGCAGAATCGGCGTATGGACAGATGGAGGAGCTGCAGAAGCGCGTCTTGGCCGAGGAGCAACGGTCCGATGCGTTGGAGAGCCAGCTGAATGGACTCAACGCGGCGGCTGAGGAGGCCAAGCAGACGGCGGAGAACGCGGTGAGCCAGCTCGAAGAGGTCCGGAATGACGCATCGCAGCTCCGCGACGCGTTCAACGGCACGGCGAGCGAACTCCAAATCGCGCAGGAAGCCGTCGAGACGCTTCAAAACCAGCTGCAGGCGGTGTCTTCGGCGCAGCAAGCGAGCGAAGCGGACGCCCAAGCGGCGATCGAGACGCTGCAGTCGAACTTGGATTCGGTCCTGCCCACGGTGGACGACATCATCAAGCAGATCACGTCGATCACCGACGCTGTGAACGATATGGACAACCAGCTCACGCAGGTCGAGCAGACCGCGATGGCTGCGAACGGACTGGCCGAAGAGCAGAGCGTCGCCGTGCAGAATCTGAGCCAGCAGGCGCAGAACGCTGCGTCGAGCGCTGCCTCCGCGCTGGAGAGCATCGCGGCGCTGGAAAGCCAGCTCGAAAAGAGCCGAGCCGAAGCCGCGGAATGGAAGGAAGAAGCGGCCGAAGCAAATCGCAGAGCGAGCTCGGCTGAATCGCTCGCGAGCTCGGCGAAGTCGATCGCCGATTCGGCGGTGAAGTCGATGATGAGCTCGGCGCAGTCGGACACGATCGCGATGTCCGCGTTGGACCCGCTGCGGACGCTGATCGAAGACACGGCGAAGCGTGCAGAAGCGACGTCGAAGCGCGTGGACGAGCTGCAGAGCGAAGTGGAGAGCGTGAAGAAAGAAACGCAGGAAGTGGCGGCGAGCGTGGAGAGCGGAAAGAGCGAAGCGACGTGCGAGATGGCGGCGGTGAAGGACGAGATCGAGATCTTGAAGAGCGGAATGGAGGATGTGAATAGTGGAGTGAATAATCTGTTTGAGGCGGTGGATGGAGTGAAGAGCGAAGTGCAGGAAATGAACGAAAAGGTGGGCGAATTGGAGCGGCAGGGAAGCGAGGCGAAGGAAAGTCTGGAGAGCGCGAAGGAGAACGCGAAGGAAGTGGAGGAACTGAAGAGCAGCGTGGAGGAAATGAATCGAGAAATCAGCGAATTGGGTCAAACCAAAACGGAAGTGAATGAATTGAAGCAGAAAATTGAAACCATTGATGATGTGAAAAACGAATTGAATTCAATGAAACAAACCATCACTCAGATCGATGAATTGCGGAACGACGTGCAGAACGATCTCGAGGCCATTCGACAGGACCTTTCCAATCTACAGATCGATTTGGACAACGCCAAACAAACCAATCTGCAGATTTCCACCATGCAGCAAACCATGAACGGAGTGGACGAAACGAAAGAAATCATCGAATCGATGCGACAAAACATCGACGAATTGAACGGACTGCGCAGCGACGTGGAATCGGCGATGGCGAATTGGAAGGATTTGGACTCGCTGCGATCGGATGTGGACGAAATCCGCGGCGAAGTGGAGTCGATGAACAACGAAATGAAAAATTCGACGACGTCGTCGAGCGAAATGCTGAATGAAATGGAGCGAATGAAGAAAGAATCGATGGATCTTTTGAAATCGACTTCGGACTCAGCGTCGAATTGTCTGTCTGCAATGAATCGCGAAGTGGAATCGATGAAAGACGAGGTGAAGAAAGTGTGTGCGCTGCACGACGAGCTGAATGAATCGATGGAGACAATGAAATCCAATCTGGACGCCGCTCAGCATCTAGTCTCCACCGCTCAGCAGCAATCTTCATCCTCTTCTTCTTCTTCTTCTTCATCTTCCTCTTCGTCCTCTTCCTCGCTTTCCCAGCTCCAATCCCAGCTTTCCTCCCTCGAAACGCGCATCGATCTCCTCTCCTCCTCCTCCATCACGCAGCCCAAGCTCGTCTCCGACGTCTCGGCGCTCCAAACCAACGTCGAGGTCCTCGCCACCTCCCTCCGCGAGGTCAAGAGCTCCCAGCGCATGGTGAGCTCGCAGATCGCCGTGCTGCAGGAGGACTGGGACGGTCGCCAGCAGGCCTTCCTCGCGGAGTTGTCGCTCGTCAAGACGCAGCTCAGCGCGGTGACGACGCCCGAAGAGGACGGAGCGGCGCGAGGCAACGCGGGGAAGTCGCGCGGGTTCTTCCGGACGAAGCAGACGGACGACGGAAGCATGATGCTGGAGCTGGAAGTGCTGCGCGAAGACGAAAAGCGACTGAAGGAACGCGTGCTGGCCGACGCAGGGACCTGCTCGGACCGCTATGTGCGACTGACGCAGCAGATAGAGACGTTCAAGCTGCTGCTCGATGAGATGAAGAGCGATCATTCGGTGAGTATGAAGAAGCTGGAGGTGCATTCGGAGGAGATGGGAAAGGTGGTCAAGGAACAGATCGGACAGATGCAGGAGTGGTATAAGAAGCTGAATGCGAGCCGTTTTGCCTAGTTGTAGTGTGTGTTGTTTGTGGTATGACAGATTGTTTGTTAGAAAACAGATTTACAGAATTTTTTCAAAGAATTTTATGATTTCTGGAATAATGGAATTTGCGCTGCTTGCTGTTTGTTCTGTACTCTTGATGGTTATGGGAGCTTGCGAAATTGCAGTACGTGCTCCATAATCGCTATTTTTGTAGTCGCTTCGACAGTGGGGTGGAATGAAATCTGAAAAAGATGTTTTTCTAGTAAGTCCCGCCTCGCGAAGTAGCTTTCGTAAGATTTATGTGGATGAGAGTGGGTATGTGTTCTTTTTGTTCTTCCTTTCTCACCTAGATATGGCTACAACGGACTTCTAGAGAAAATTCGAAGAGAAGACTTTTCGCGCTTTAAGGATTCCACATACATGGACTATACTGGTATTGTTGCTGACACGGATTTTATAAAGGTGCTGGCCAACACCGAGATTCCCAAATCAAAAAAACGTTTGACCTTATTAAGAATATTCCGTTTGGAAATACACACAGCAATAGCCCTGCAAGTAAGAACTCTGAAATCGAAGTGGATGTCGGTTTTCTGTCCTCCTCGAATCTAGAAAGCTCGTCAGGCCATTCTTGAATGGTTTCACACGACCAGCGACGACTACGAAGTAGTATTCACCTCCGGAGCAACAGGTCTGCATGCAATGAGTTCATCACCTCTAGCTGGCCTGCATCTCATCGGAGAAACGTTCTCCTGGTCCAAGAAGTCCCACTTCTACTATCTGCGCGAGAATCACAACTCGGTCTTAGGCATTCGCGAGATCGCTCTGCACAACGGAGCCACTTTTCATGTTGTGAGCAGCACTGACATCGAGCAGGAATGTCAAGCCTCCGAGTCCTCGCCAACGGACTCGGATCCCGTGAACAATCTCTTCGCGTTTCCTCTGGAAGAGAATTTTTCTGGGAAAATTTTCCCTTTGCATTGGATCACGCAGATCCAAGGAAAGAACCGATTCCACTGCCAGGGGAACTGGTACGTCCTCCTCGATGCCGCTGCATACGTTCCGACGCACGATCTCAACTTGACAGAATTCCCCGCTGATTTCGTCGTGATGTCCTTCTATAAAATGTTTGGCTTCCCCACGGGACTCGGAGCGCTTCTGGTTCGAAAACAGAGCGCTCATGTGCTGAACAAGGTGTACTATGGAGGAGGGAGCGTGTTGCAGACGGTCACAAAATCGGGGGATCATCGGTAATTCCACAAATCCGGACTATTTTATAATAGTGTGCCAAGCTCGATTTCCCGCCGGTTCGAAGACGGAACTCCAAATTTCATGGGGATTTTGAGTATTATTCCCGGGTTCGAGGCGATCAAAGAAGTCGGAGGAATTAATGCGGTGAACACGCACACAATGATTGTGACACGCTATCTGTACGCAATGCTCATTCCGCATCACACACAGCGCGTCCAAACTGCGCGCACTGCGTCATTCCAACGGATCGCCTCTCCTTCGCATCTACGGCAACCACGACACTCCCGCGGGACTGCAGGGCCCCATCGTGACGGTGAACGTGCGTAGGCGATTGATTCGCGGTGCATCGCAGTGGACCCGAGCGGCTCGCTGGTTTCGTTCGCCGAGGTGGAAAAAGCGGCCGCGCAGCACCGAATCCACGTAGGTTTGGGCAGAAACTGCGAGCTAGCTGCGCGCTGGATGGCACTGCAACCCCGGAGCGGCGTACGCGTCGCTGGGACTGTCGGAGGAGATGGTGATCAAGCAGATTCGGGAGCATCAGTGCTTCTCGAACGAGTGCGTGCATCAGTCGGCGCTGACGGTGGTGAACGGAGTGATGGCGGGCGGAGTGAGGATCTCGCTGGGGTATCTGACGACGTACGAGGACTGCGATCGCGTGGTGGAGTTCTTCAAGGAGGAGTATTTGAAGTGAGGAACGTGGTAGCTGGGAGTGTTTGTTGGAATAAAGAGAGTGGGGAGAGAGAACCACGATGAGGAAGGATAATATATGAACAAACACGATGAGAAAGGAAAGGAAAGGAACAAACACGATGAGAAAGGAAAGGAAAGGAACAAACACGATGACGAATGATAGGAACAAACAGGGAATGAACATCAAAAATTGACATATCGCACATTGTAATTGTCTGGCTCCATCGAGTAGTCCGCGTTCTGCTGGCAAATCTGCGATCCATCGAGCCTGTACAGCGTGATCGGGTTGTTGATGCAGTTGTAATGGTCGTCGAACTGCCCCTCCACGATCAGGTTCTGACTCAGCGGATAATACCGAACGAGGCCCACAGGGAGATATTCGTGGATGCAGCTCGGATCGTTCAGGTCGTACTGCTTGATCTGGCCCTGGTATTTCACCTTCCCGTTCTCCCAGAAGATGCACGAATAGCTCTCCAACACGCCTCGATTCCACTGACCCTCGAAGTAGCTCTTGTCCGGGAAGTAAAACCGGCCGCGGCCGTGGTAATACAGCGTCGGCTGCAGCACCGACATGCTGTCGTCCAGCCACACATTCCCGACATACCACGCCTTCTTCCGCTGCGGGAACCGCTCGGGCACTTCGGGCGCGTAGACGGTGGCGAAGGTCTCCGGCGGGATCCGATCGCTCTGCCACTGCCCATCGAGAATTCGCCCGTCTGGCAGATACAGCGCGCCGTTCCCGGCCTTCTGGATCATGTTGAGGTTGTTGTTGATGCAGCTCCATCCTCCGACGTACACGCAGCGCCACGACTCGTCGATCGCCATCGCTTCCAAGTTGGGAGTCGCAAAAATCTGCACGGTGGGATCGGGAACTCCCTCTTTTAGGGTCAGAACGTAGCCGATCACCTCCATGCCTCGCATTGAATAGCTGTAATACACTCCAGAATACTGCAGATTGTCGTGGTACTGCCCTTTGAACACGAGATGCCCCGCCAGATCCCATTCCTGGCCGGGTCCTTCGCGCTTTCCGTTCTGCATGAAGGCTTTGCACGTGCAGCGACCCATCGCGTAGGTGGCAATCGATCGCTCTTTTCCATTCTCATACTCCACCTCTTTGGTTAAAACGCCGTTTTCGTTGTAGTATTTGCACAAGTCGCAGAGCTGGTCGTCGATGATCGTCCCGTTGAACATCATCTTCCCCGATTCCCAATAGAAAACCACTTTCCCGTGGGGCTTCTCGTTCGAAAAAACGCCCTCGCAGTATTTCTGCCCGTTAGCGTAGTAAAGAATGCCGTGGCCGTGGAGCTTTCCGTCTTTGTACATTCCTCTGCTGATGATTGCGTTTGTGTGGGGGTTGTAAATCGATCCATTGACCAAACATCCGTCCCGGAAAGTTCCTTGTTCAAGTAAGGCGTTGGAGGAAAGCGTTCGGACCTCGCCCTTGTCGTGCAGTTTGCCATCGATAAACGTTCCTGTATAGATGAGATCTCGCTCTGTGTCGACTTTCTGGCCTTTGACGCCTCTTTTGGACGAGGAGGTCGATCTGCGGAGGGATGAGTTCGATAACGAGTTCGTTAATCCTTTCGATTGTTGGAGTTGACTCGCAGATTGAGTGGAGCGGGCGAATGGCAAGCTGCCGCTTTGGTTTGGCTGGATTGGGCTCATTGGTTTGTTTTGTGGAACAGCAGTAGCAGCAGCAGAAGAAGAAGAAGAAAAAGAAGAAGCAGAAGCAACAGTAGAAGAAGGCATTGATTGACTAGGTTCATTGGATGGAGTTGGGTACTGGGAAGGCAAAGGCAAAGGCAATGGCACGGGTTGGTCGTTTGCTTCCTTCGGCAATTTGACGGTTGAAACGAAAGGGAACGCAGGAGTGGAATCTCGATTCTGGTTAAGAGGAGGGATATAGAGAGGAATCGCTTCGGTGCTCGTTTGTCTCAAAGCAGCAGGCGGAGGAGGAATCAGGTTCCCCGTTTCCACTTTCGGAGGCTTGTTTATAGTAGATGAATGAATCGAGTTCCCCGTTTCCACTTTCGGAGGCTGGGTTGTAGCAGAGAAGTGGGTCGAATACTTGGGTTGGATGGGAGGCAGCTCGCTCACCATTGGAGGAGGCGGTTCATTGACCAGAGGGAAGTGAGTTGAGTATTTTGGCTCCATTGGAGGCGGCTCATTCGCCACTGGAGGAGGAGGAGGAGGAGGAAGCTGCTCATTCACGACTTGCGATCGAGCAGAATTGGAAATCGGATTCGGCTCGCCTTGCGATTCAGCAGTGGAATCATACAACGAGGCTCCATCGATTTTGGGGAATTGATCGATGCCCGTAAACTGGAAGGAAGTACTGGCTCGGATTTCTGGAATCTTGCTGAAGGCAGACGTCGACAGCGTCGCAGCGACCCCACTCAATCCAAGTTTTTGCGATGCAGAAGAAACAGATCGCTCCAACTTCGGCGTTTCATTCGACGTTGGCGATTCATTCGACGTTGGCGATTCATTCGACGTCGGCGTTTCGTCCGACTTCGGGGTTCCTTCTTCGGTGAGGACTGGCTTCGTCGATCGCAAAATAACCGACGATCGGCTGCCATCGACGACAGCAGTCTTCTTCATCGGCACACGAACCACCACTTGCTCGTCTCTTTCCGGAACTTCCGGAATCGTCGAGGGATAGAGCGGCTTCGCGTCCTTACTGAAGAGAAGTCCTCGGATTGTCGAGATGGAGACCAAAGAAGAATCTCCAGGCTTGGGAATGCTCTCAATCGAAGACAACACGAGCGACAAGCGCTCATTCTCGTTGTTCGCGTCGGAAGCAGGGGGTTCCGGAGGAGGATTCTTCGTAGACAATCGATTGGAAGTTTTTGGATCCACGCTCGCCATCGATTGCGTTCCATTGTTCTGATTCTCATGGGCAAGAGTGTTCACAACGGACGAATCTTGGCAGAAATTCTCTTCGTTCAAAAACGAATAAAGCACCTCAATGCCCACCTCGATGGAACTGATCGGATTCGATCCCACTCCCAAACTATCCTCCAAAATGGGTTCGATTTCGATACATTCACGACTCTTCACTCTCTTTATCGTGTCCAGTTTGTAAACATCCGCCATCGATTGCAACTTTTCTCCACGAAGACAAAACGATATGGAGTGCAACATGATGTCTTTCAAATCCCGATCCTCCTTTATCGCACGATTCAAATCAGCAAATGTTCCGTCTGCTTCTTGTCGCGAGTTCTCTTCCCATTCTCCTTCTCCAAAAATCGAGCCATCTTCACAATAGCAAACTCCTTGACCCGATATCTGCCCATTCTTCCACATTCCATCGTATAAAAGAGAGCCGTTTATGTAATACGCACGACCTTCTCCTTCACGAGCATCATTGTGGAAGTTTCCACTATACACAGGAACAGAGTGACACAATTCAAATCCAAATCCTTCACGAGGATACCACAAGCCAGGATTGTTAGCATAGGAACCAACGTACACAACAGAATGGTTCTGGTTGAATTCCATCATGTTACCGCTATTGTATAAACGAAGCTGACATACAGGATCACCGTTTTGATAGTAGGAAAGCTGAATTGGATTGTTGTTAAAATCGACTTCGACACAGTAGCCGTGAAACTGGCTCGTGTAGGGATCATATTGACCACGAAGCAGAGTTGAATCCAAGAGATGGCACTTGTATGTTACAGCGTTATACGATACAAAATAATCAGTGGTAATCCTCACTCCTCGCTTGTATTTCCCAGCATAGATTGGAAAGCCGTGAATATCAAATTCCTTTGCCTCTCCTTCACGCCGATTATTCATGTACGACCCTTTAAAAGTGACTACGCCATCACAGTACTCTGTTGTTTCGCCTTCTCGCTTTCCTAATTGAAGAGTTCCGCAAGAAGTCACTTTTCCATTATAGTAAATCTTATAAGGACCGCTGAAGCTTATCATTCTCAAAAGTAAGATCTGCCAAACATTCTCCATTGCAAAAAATGTGCCCTATGCCATTTAATGCATTATTTTTACATTTGCAAGTCAAGTACATGCTTTCATGAGGTTCATTAAAAGGAATTACGAGCTCTTCATCATCGCCAGAGACTTTCACTTTTTGAGAGGCATATCCATCAAAGATTCCTCCCCAAGATACCGTCAGCGTCTTGCTCATGTTTCAGAAAAAAACTGACCGTACTGAATAAAACAAACAATGAACTAAGACACAGCACAACCCAGGTTCGTGAGAGTAATCGTCGTTAGATTGGCGATATCATCATTATCTTCATAGAACGCAAGGATGCGCTGCAAGTGATCTATAATATCAACTGTGTTCTTCAGATAGGTTCGGCCCTCCAGCGTAAACGACAAAACGGCCAGAGACGAAACACACTGGTAAATGATCCGCTCATCTCGAAGGTAAATCATCATCAGCTTGTCAAGCAGCGGAATCACATCATTCACGAGCAATGAGACAACCAGCCGCTCTACAGTCCCAATCCATCGTTATTTCCACCTTGGCTTTTCCTCGTGCTTAGCACTCCGAACATACTGGAGATGATTCCCAGCACCTGCATCACGATTCCTTTATCGTGCCGTTCCACATATTTCACGCAGCAATACACGATCAGCCGCATCGCATCCATCTCGCGGAGCTGCTCGCAGACCTCCACATCTTCCATTCATTCCGCCATACTAAAAAAACTATGATAAGTGAGATATCCGATGCACGACAATCCGCAAAACACGCAAATCGATTCTTCTGTGTTGTCGTGAATGAAGGAAAGCAGCGTCGCGATCCCGCCCTGCTCCACGATGACTTCGCGACAGGGCTGCAGAGCGGCGAGACGCGAGAGAAGCGCGATGCAGAGCTCCTGGACGTTGAGCGGAACGTTCTGGATGCGAATGAATTTGAAGATGATGGTGATGATGTTGAGGGAATAAAGCAAACGACGGATGTTGACTGGAGGTCAGGAAGAAACAAAAGAGAGCGCAGTACTGTCTTTGCAGGCGAGGATGAGGAAGTTGAGAAGGGAAACGAGCGCTTCGGAGGTGATCGAGATGAACTGAATGACGAAAACGGAGAGATGGATGATTTGATGGGCTATGATTTCTTTGTGAACGCGCTGATTCACCGCTGCGATGGACGCCAGGAACGAAAAGTACTCTCTTTCGCCTTCATTAGAATGTTGTAGAGCAGAATGTAGGAAACGCGGAGCAAGCGGGGCTCGCGATGGCGCTCGAGGATCACAGCGATGGTTTGGATGACGTGGGTGTCCAGCAAGTCATCCAAATCGATCGCTGAAGCAAATGAAGGCGAGGAGAGAAGCGTACCATGCGATTTCAGAACGTAAATCATGCAGCAAAGACTGTGAAGCAGCACGGACGACGAGAGTGGGTGCGATTTGAACACCATTTCCATGAGAAGAAAGAGGTTTTGCTCGAGTAGCAGCGAGACTTCGTCGCCTAATTGAGAGGCAAATAGAAAAACTACTTCCCATAAACGCGATCACGCGCAGAACTTGCATGCACATGCGGATGGTTTCCTCGTTTCCCACGCAGGATTTCGCTACGGCGAAGAGAAGCCCGATTCCGCCCTCTTTGAACATCGATTCGCAGTTCTCTTCTAAGAGAAAAGAAAAAAATCGAAGCGACTCGTGGCGGTGAGGCGGAGGAGAATGCGACAGACGAGATCGGAGAGATTGTTCGTTCCTCGACAATGGATGTACACGTCTTTGATGCACGAAAGCAAGTGATAGCGGAAGATGAAGTCGATGCCTGAGGCTATTCGTGAGAACCGAGCGATGATTCGACGCGAGAGACTGAGATTGCGAGTGATGGAGACGAGTGGATACACAGAACTGGACAGAGAAATCGAGGGAATTGGATCCTGGCAGACGGAATACGTGAACGAGGTGATCTTTTGGATGAGGCCACTGTCCATGAGAGAGGATTCCCAGCCTTCCAGACCCGCGAAAAACATGGTAATCGTGGAAACTTGCTGCATAATCACGAGGTCATCGAAGTAGAGATCCGTAACACGAGAAAGAAGAGAAAACATCTCGTTGTTGCATAGCTGGGAACACTGGTGAACTAGAGAGAAACAAAATAAAAAGAATAATACTGTAAACGCAAAGAGAGGAAACGCAAGTCAGACAAGTCAGGATTCCCGTATGGTCTTCTGCATTTAGCTCTGATTCCAAAATATTCACGACAATCGGAACTAAAGTATCGTTCAAGTCTTCAGGAATTGCCGTTTCTTCAGATAATAATCGAACGAAAGCTATTACGCATAACTAGGAGTTGCGTCATTGCTCCTATGACATATATTTGAAGGTATTTCAGTTCATCTTTCATGAGAATGAGTCTACAGCACCTCATTAATGCCTCATAATTCTTCTTCTCGTGCTCTACATAATTATGAAACTTGATATTTAAAACGAACCCTGATACGGTAAACTCATAACAGACACGAGGGCCTCTCTAATTTGATTAGAAGAAGACCTTCCATTTGATAGAGTCTCCAAAATCACTCGAACATTCATACGAGAACTAATGACTGAAAACAAACAGCGATAAATCCGAATTTTACAAGTTCCTCATTATAAAGGGAATCGCCATACAGCATATAGCACAGACATAGAGGAAAACCAGAGATAACCAGAAAAACCTGAGGTTGTTTACAGCAATGCACTTTCCCATCCAAATACAATGGTGATCCAACTACGATTCATTCCTGTCTCCATTTCCCACCTTATAGTGGCATAAATTACAACGATAGCAATGATGGACACGAAAGGAGACTCGATCGCAATGGCACTCCTCTATATCAATTAAAAGCAACCGAAATCGCATACCGCATTGCACAGGATTATCTTCAGTGGTAGGACGCATGCCTCGAAACACAATTCCAGGATTACTCATTGTCGTCATCAAAAAGAAAAACTCGCTTAGCAAACACACAGCAACTGCGGAGACAAATCCCCAAAACTCATATACTTGCAGAGTGAGTGAGTATCCAACATAACATAGAAGAACAATCAAAGGCAGACTCAGCGTCATAAAAAGCATTTTCCAGTCGGGACCCACAATGGCTACAAAGGGAAAATAGTCATGTTTCAGCTCGTCTCCCCAGAGCAAATAACAATTCCCGAGTCGACCTCCTGACTTAGGATATGTATGGTTACGATATACTGAATGAGGCTCAAACTCTTTAAGTCTCGCTTTCCAAGACACATCACCGTCATTTTCTGTGTCAGAGTCGTATTCTACTTGATGATATTCGATGGGAATTCTTACTGTAAGGAAATAATCGTTTTCTATCAGCAAGCTCGGAAAACTAGCAACTTATACAAATAAACGAGAAGTACCTTTTTTTGATATCTATCTGTCTGCGTTGGTGTTTCCTGTGTGTTTTCCATCAAAAAAGCAAAAAGGACAAGAAAATGTTACAAAACTGGCTACTGAAGGGGTGACGTCTGGATGCTTTCCGTCTTGTTCGTGATGGAAGACGCGTTGTTTTGAATCTGTGCAGTGAATGAAGGGACAAATTCAAACACTATGTTCATACACCGAAACTTGAAAGGGAAGTGTCAGATCTCCCTACAGCGTCAGAGAGTTTTAAACTTTATAAATAAATATATACATACATAGCAACGTTCTAGCTTTCTCATACTTTGATTGAGTTCAACCACACGGTTATTTAACTTCTCTATGATATCGGACGTCTATGAGTGATGCGACCGAGAAAGAATGCAACTTCTCTCAAATTGGACGCCAGTTGCGCCAGTTCCTGGATAACAAGGATCTATTCTCAAAACTACAGTCTATTCGTACCGTGCTATTATCCGAACTCATAAAACAAACACAAGACTCCAAGAGAAAGAATTAGTAACTATCTTCAATGAGACGTCCCACAATCTCGGGAGTAATTCTCTTATTCTCTCCTAAAACGACATTATTCTCCTTGAACTTCTTCACGACCTCACCAATCCAATCCTTGTTCTGATCCACTTTGTACTGGCAAATATGCGTCGGCACGCCCATCACGTTCTCGTAAAAGTCCTCAATCTTCTCGATCGTCTGCATGGCGATCTCGGGCACGGTTCCCTCTACTCTCGATCCCTGAACGCTCATCGCTTACTCGAAATTCCGAACACGCGCACTCCCATCTGCGCCAATTTCTGCATCTTCGCGTCGAATTGGAAGCGCAGAACGCGCGGCTACGTGCTACATCCCTGTCAATTCTACCTGAATGCAAGCGAGCGTGCGCGCGTGGTCCATTCCGAGATAGGCAGTGAGTTCGTGGCCGATCATATGCGTCGCCCAATCCACGATCACGCCTTGCGAAAGCCATTTGTTCAGAGCCTGCGTCGCGGCCCACATGATGTTGCTGCGAGCGATGTAGGAGTGAGGATTGGCCATCACGAGCTTGCCCTAAGATGAAGAAAGAGAGAGAGAGAGGGACATTGTCGATGAGGACGTTGAGAAGAGCCTCTGCGTAGCGATCCTGCACGTCAGCATCTGAGAGTCGTGAAAAGAATCGGAAGTAATACTCAGACACACGGTGAGATATTGCTCGCAGACGTGAACGAATGAGTCGACCACGCCGTTGGCGGTCTGGCGGGTTGGAAGAGACATGGTGGTCTCGGGATCGAGGATGGAGAACTGAGGGAAGAGGAGGTTGGAGTTGAACGCGTATTTTGCCTTCATGAAAGAAAAAGGGAAGGATTTACGTTGCAGCTTCTGCGCGACAGCACAGCTCCGTTGTTGCTCTCCGAACCCGTCTATGAATTACGCCAGGCACTAGCACGAACAGCAGGAAGAGTCATAACACAACCCATTGGAACAGCGCTTTCAATGCCCTTTCCGCCAGACTTCACCATATCCCATGGATCCGCTGTCTTGGTGTACTTTGAAGCGGCAGCGATGAATTTCGTTCCATCAGCAACAGAACCGCCGCCTACTGCCAGCAGGAAACAATCATCCACACCAATCTTCTTCACAATGTCTACCGCCTTAATAGCAGTGTCGAAATCGGGATTCGCTTCAATTCCGCCAAACTCTGTAACATCGTATCCTTGCAAAGCAGTCATCACTTGCTGGTAGACTCCGTTGCGCTTAATACTACCGCCTCCATAGGTCATCAAGATCTTTTTGCCAGAAGGAATCAACTTCGGCAACTTTGCGATCTGGCCTTTTCCAAACACAATACGTGTCGTATTCGCGAAGTTGAAATTTCTCATGCAAGCAAGCATTTTCGATAAATCAAAGGAAGCAAAAAGTGAGCTAACCACACAAAAAATAGTTATTTCTCTCCATCAAAGTGGAATGGCAACTGAAAAGGGGAAAAAGAAAGAGGCTGCTACAGCTTCGGCGACAAAACCCGCGTCTAGCGCTCCCAAGACAAAGAGGCAGCGAGGAGTAGTGCGACGTGCTTTGAAGCGTGCTGAACCGAAAATCAACGAGAATCCCAAGTCGGCTATGTTCATTCGCTCAACCACGGCCAACCAACGAACACTCAATGTAATGAAAGATTTGGTATGTATCTCTATTGTCTCGTTTAGCTTCCATAGGCTCGTTTGAAGAAACCCTTTTTTAAGTCACTTTCAAGGAAGAACGATATTCGTCCGTTTGATGCAGTGGATTCGCTCGAATTTTTATCAAAGAAGAACGACTGCAGTTTGTTTATGGTTGCCAGCCACTCGAAGAAACGTCCGAACAACCTCGTCATGGGACGCTTTTTTAACTATCAAATTCTCGATATGATCGAGCTGGGAGTGCTGGACTACAAATCAATCGACTCGTTCAAATCAATGAAGGTTCTCTCTTTTTTCTCCGCATTCCATGTAGAGTCAGGTCGGTCAGAAGCCCATGTTCCTGTTCCAGAGCGATTTGTGGCAATATTCGGAGCGACATATGTTGCTGAAGAATCTGATTCTTGACTTCTTCCGGGGCGTGGAAGTGGACACCGTCAACCTCACAGGACTCAGCTACGTTATTTCCGTGACGGCGATCGGCGATGAGACGCAAGAGAAGCCTGTGGTGCTGTTCCGCGTGTATTGTGGGTGAGAAAGCGCGAATTCACGGGTAGCGACCGAGTTGAAGCGAGTGGGCGGCGTGATTCCGCGCGTGGATCTCGAGCTGATGGGTCCGTCGATCGACTTTGAGATCCGACGCGTGCACGAGAACACGACGGAGCTGAAGAAGCTCTCGCTGATCCAGCCGAAGGTGACCAAGCCTCCCAAGGTGAAGAACGTGACGCAGAATGTGTTCGGCGAGAAGATTGGACGGCTGCATATGACCAAGCAGGAGGTGGACAAGATGCAGGTCCGCAAGATAAAGGCGCTGAAGATTCTGAGGAAGGAGAAGGAGAAGAAGGAAACCGTGGCTCGAAAGCAGAGAGAGCCCGAAGAATGAGAGTCGTAGTTCCTAGGTCGTTTACTTGGCTCTTTGAGAACAACAAACACGACAGTGATTAACATAGTTACATTATTACTTCTTTCCGTACACCTTGTTCAGCTCCTTCCACAACTGCTTGTCCGACATCGCCATGCGCACGCGCTCGGCGTGTCTCTTCTCGATCTCCTCCTGCAGCTGTTTGTGCAGCTCCTCGGCCACGGCGGGCTGCTGTCTCTCGAGGATGTTGTACCGGTTCTGTCCGGCGAGGTAGTCGCTGACCTTGCCCTTCAGCTTCTTGAAATCCAGCTGGAACGGGTTCTCGCCCTTCTCCGCGCGGCGCGGATCGTAGCGGTACAGCGGCCAGTAGCCGCACTCCACCGCGCGCTGCTCCTCCTCGGCCAGGTGGCTCATTCCCAGCTTGCTCGGGAATCCGTGCTGCTGGCAGGGCGAGTAGGAGATCACGATGGCCGGTCCGTTGTACGTCTGCGCCTCGATCAGCGCCTTGATGGCCTGGCGCGGGTCCGCACCCACCGCGATCGACGCCACGTACACGTTCTTGTAGCCCATCATGTGCTTGCCCAGATCCTTCTTCATCAGACGCTTGCCGCCCGCAGCGAACTTCGCCACCGCGGACATCTGCGTGGCCTTCGACTGCTGGCCTCCCGTGTTAGCGTACATCTCCGTGTCCACGACCAGACACTTGATGTCGTCGCCCGAAGCCATGACGTGGTCCAGACCGCCGAAGCCGATATCGTAGGCCCAGCCATCGCCTCCCAGGATCCAGGTCGTGGCCTTGGGGAGCATGTCCTGGTAGTCCGCCACCGCCTTGATCTCAGGCTTGCTCTTCTCCTTCTCCAGCAAGGGGAGAAGCTCGTCGTAGCAGGCAATGGACACATCGGGGTCCTGGCGACCGTCGTACCACTTCTGCAGAGCGGCCTTCAGAGCGGGGGAAGGCGCAGAGGAGGCGAGGGCGGCCTCGACAGCGGAGGTCAGCTTGTTGCGACGAACCACCTGCGACTTGTAGATACCGTAGCCGTACTCGGCGTTATCCTCGAACATGGAGCAGCCCCAAGTGGGTCCGTGACCACGCTGATTGCGAGTGAAGCTAGAGGGAGGTGAGAGAGGGTTCAACACAGCAAGGGTTCAAGAGCAATGATTCATGCTGAAATTTCTCTTGGAATGCTGTGCGAGATGGACGGATCTTGGATCTCGGATCTCGGATCTCAGAAAGCAACGCCACGTCATCGAGTCTCCTCTCAGACGAAAGATGGATTTGCATTTCATCCTCGCATCCATCGAGCAACGAAGGAACGTCAGAATCGTTGGTTTTCACGTCAGCGAGTCTCCTCTCAGACGAAACACGGACAACGTTTACATCACTCTTCCTTCCTTCCAATCATTGATTCATTGATTCATTGATTCATTGATTCACTCAAAGCCATCAGAAAAGGTTAAGGTCACGTCAACGAGTCTCCTCTCAGAAACACGGACCTCATTTTCATCCCGTGAGCCAGCGAATCAAACACCCATCCCAATTCAATTTACATCACATCAAATCAAATCACACTACTTACGGTACGACTCCAGTGCCTCCCAGAGACACCATCGTGCATCCCATGGCATCCGCGAACGAAATGCGATCTCCGAACAGCTGCGTCAGCATCTTCACCACCGTCATTTCTCCGCATCCAGCGCAGGCTCCGTTGAACTCGAGCATGGGCTCCTGGAAGGCCAGTCCCTTCACCGTGGTCTTGTCCACCAGATGGCCCTTGTTCGTCAGCGTCATCGCGAAGTCCCAGTTCTTGCTCTGCACCGCAGAGACCTTCGTCAGAGGCTCCATCTTCAGCGACTCCGTAGGGCACACAGTCGCGCACACCTCGCAGCCCGTGCAGTCCAGCGGCGAAGCCTGGATCGTGAAGTTCAGACCCTTCAGCTCGTCGCCCACGGCGGGGAGATACGTGAAGCTGGCGGGCGCCTTCTTGGTCTCCTCCGCGTCCATCAGGAAGGGACGAATCACGGAGTGCGGGCAGATGCTCGCGCACTGGTTGCACTGCGTGCAGGTGTCCTTGTTCCACACCGGTACGATCGTAGCCATGCCGCGCTTCTCGAACTGCGCAGTGTCCGTCTCCTGGCGACCGCCCGGAATGAACGCAGACACGGGCAGCTGGTCTCCAGTGATCATGGCCACGTGGTACTGCAGGTTCTTGTAGGCGTCCGTCGCGTTGGGAGGGAACTTGTGCAGCGGCTCCATCTTGTAGTCGATCCAGGAGGAAGGATAGTCGATCTCCACCAGCTCCTTTCCGGCCTGCTCCATGGCGGTGATGTTCATGTTCACCACTTCCTCGCCCTTCTTCGCGTAGCGGGTGCGGATGTTGTCGGCGATCAGCTTGGTGGCCTGGTCCTCGGGCAGCACCTTCGACAGCTTGAAGAACACCGCCTGCATCACCATGTTGATGCGCTGACGCAGTCCCACCTTCTGCGCCACCGACGTCGCGTCGATCACGTACAGCTTCACCTTCTTCTCCGCGATCTGGTGCTTCATGGCGGGCGGCAGATTGGCGTCCAGCTCCTCCACCGTCTTCCAGGGCGCGTTCAGCACGAAGGTTCCGCCCTCCTTGATGGTGCTCAGCATGTCGTACTTGTGCACGTACCCGCTGGTATGGCAACCCACGTAGTCCGCGTTCTCGATGTTGTACTCCGATGTGATCTTCTCCGGACCGAATCGCAGATGCGTCACCGTCAGACCGCCCGACTTGTGCGCATCGAAGCCGAAATAGGCCTGCGCGTTCAGCTTGGTGTTGTCCACGATCAGCTTCACGGCCTCCTGCGTGGCGCCCACCGTTCCGTCGGAGCCCAGTCCGTACAGAATGCACTGCTTTGTGTTCTCTCCTCCCACGTGGATCTTCGGACCCAGAGGCAGATCGCTGTGGCACACATCGTCCACGATACCCAGCGAGAACCGGTTCTTCGGCTTCTCCGCCTTCAGGTTATCGAACGCCGCCTTCGCCATCGTGGGCGTGAACTGCTTGCCTCCAATACCGAAGCGGCCGCCCACCACCTTGATCTTGCGGTCCATGTCGTTCACCACGGCGCACACATCCTCGTACAGCGGCTCTCCGTACGCGCCATCCTCGCGCGTCTTGTCCAGCACGCAGATGCTCGAAACCGTCTTCGGCAGCGCAGCAGTGAAGTGCTTCAGCGAGAACGGGCGCCACAGATGCACCTTCATCACACCCACCTTCTCGCCGTGCTGGTTCAGATAGTTCACCGTCTCCTCCACGGTACTCGCCGAGGCGCCCATCACCACGATCACACGATCCGCGTCGGGAGCGCCCACATAGTCGAACAGATGGTACTGACGACCCGTGATGCTCGCCACCTTGTCCATCGCCGCCTGCACGTTATCAGGGATCTTGGCGAGCAGAGGGCCGTTGGCGAGAGCATGCTGCATCCAAGTATCGCCACCCTCCACGACACCCATGCATTCGGGATGCGTGGGGTTCAATCCGCGCTTCTTGAACTCCAGAGCCTTGTCGAACGGGTAGATCTTCTTCACCTCGTCCGGGGTTATCATCTCGATCGAAGCCACTTCGTGGGAGGTGCGGAAACCATCGAAGAAGTGAAGCATCGGGTAGCTGCTCTCCAGACTACCTACGATCTAGTACACAACATACAGAGGAAGACGCTGACGCTTAGCAATATGACGCCACCAAGGATGAATGTTGTCCAGAGCCTCCTGCACAGAGTGAGAGGACAGGTAGCTGAAGCCGGTCTAGGGGTGAGGGGACAGAGAAACCACAAACTCCGCGAGTCGTGAACACATCACTGTAATCGCAGTACAGACAGCCAGTTTGCTTCGCAACCGAACGGCTGGCCACGTGAAGGACTCCGGGGAGCAGTTCACCGGCAACTTTCAGCCTAATCATGAGAACCGCCAGCATCACCAAAAACGTACATATCCGGAATCATAAGCATCAAACCTTGCGAGGAGGAGAACGTGGTACCTAAAGCACCTCCCACCAGAGCACCATGAAGGGCTCCCATAGCACCCGCCTCAGACTAACGATAGAAGCAGTCAAACGAGGCCTACCTGCATTTCAACGACGCGCACAGGCTGTCCAAAGATATTCTTCCGTCCCTGAACCGACCAGTTATCGCAATGCTCTCCCATAGGGGATGAGGGTGTGATAGGAAAAATGATGGCTGTTTCAGAGACGTTATAAGCAGACGCAGCTGCTGCCTCGTTACCATCGCAAGCAACACGCATAGACAGCGAACGGCCAAAAACAGCCTTTGTAGCAGCAGTAGTATTAAAGGCACAAGACCTTGCAGCAATAGGCGCTGTAATACGCAATAATCTTGACAGCATTATTGTTCAGCTACAATATATAGAGGAACAGGTAAATCTATATGAGTTTCTACGTTTGGGGAGTTTCATTCATTCATGGATTCCCCATTTATCCTCTTATGTGATTTATCGATAAACGAAACCATGGAAGGGTGTGGTTAGTAGAGTTGGGTGATTGGAGGTTGAGAACAAGCGGTGATTGAGGACAGAGTCATTTTGTGTTGGTGGTTTGGTTTGGGCGGCTTTGCGTTCTTTTGAAGTGTGATTTCCGAAAACCTGGTAATATCAATTCGAGAGTTTGAGAAGGAAAATGAACAGGAAGGGTTGAAGTTTTGGAGGTGGGCAGTCATCTAAGATACAGAGAAATGAAAATGAGCTTGATAGGGTAAGAGAGTGTAAGGGAATATCAAGAACTTGAATTTGGTGTAAATTACGATTCTAATTGTGCACTAACAAAAGAGAGAAGATTGTGGAATAGAATATTGAGCAACTCTGTGAGAGATTTCGAAAACAATGCGTTTCTCTCTTCTGTCTATTTCTAACCGTATGTGGGTATTGATGAAAGGTCGATAGTTTGTGTGGATTCACTTTGTAATACTAGTTTGAACTATCAGAGTCGATTTGTAAAATAATACGCTAGTTAGTACTGAGTTTTATGATAAACGGGGTGAAAAGAAGCAAATATTCACAAAGAAGAATAGATTCCTTGTTTGTTTGTTTGTTGTAGTAGGGAAAAAAGAAGGAAAGAACTAGCGATAGAATAGTGTGTTTATTAAACTCGTCGAGTCAGCATTAGATTTCAATCGATATCTTGATGTGTTAATAACGATACATGGATTTTCGGAAGTGCGAACAATGTGAATCATTGTTTGAATAGGGGAGTTGTTTGTAGAGAAATCTATATCATAAGGTATGTATAAAATAAAATACAGGATAGAGTGCGATATTAGTAGGTATGATCCATTATCGGTTATTCTCTCTCTTGTAAAAATGGCTATTGATTATTAGATAGAGAATTACAAGAATCATAATAGCAGGAGTAGAAATGAATATTAATCGAAAACAGTGAACAAATGGGATGTGTCCAAATCAATGATGGAAATAGAATACTGATAGCTTTGTGTAAATTTGTAACAGATTCGAAATGAAGCAGTTAACATCACACACTTCCACTCCGATAACAATAATAGAGTATTTAAAGTAGTAATAATAGTAATAGGGTGATAATGTGAATAGAAAGAAGACTTCGAGAGTACTGTTGAGGAGTGGAAAAAAGACGATCATCATTCAAATCATTCAGTCAATCATACTGCGTATCCTTCAAAATTATGGTAATTTTTGTTTCACAATCTAATTGAATCGTCAATAATTTAGTTAGTGATATTTCAAGTGCAAAACAACCCTTTCTACGAACATTGAAACAATCGAGATTGTATCAGTCATATCATTCACTTTCGGTATTTTACCCATTTCACTTATTCAACTGTTTATACAAGAAGTGGAAAAAACTAAAACAGTCTCCGTTGTAAAGAAGAAAAAGAGCAAATCGATATTTGGATACTATTGAAATGACCAATGAATGACGGTAAGGAGTGTGGAACAAAGAAACAAGCAGAGAGAAACATAGAGAATATACAATAATCATTGAATGGAATGGAATGAAATTAAAGAAGTAGAAATATATTGAAATAAGGTAAAGAAACATCGATTCTATTATTACCATATGATAGATAACGGTGCTTGCTTTGGTGACACAGCTGTATCCATTGTGATATGAACATGATCAGCTAGAATGGAAGAAACATCTATGAATGAAATCAAATCAATCAACACAATACTCGATATTGATTTCGACCAAACTCTCTGGTAAGCGTAAGGTAGCTTGACATATTGAAGATTTGGAATATCTAAAAACGATCAATATTCACTAGTAGTAGGTAAATGACATAAAAAGCGCGAGAAATATTTCTGCCCTTTTTCTGCCCTTTTCTGCCCTTTCTGCCCTTTTCAGGCCCTTACACCTCAAATCCATGAGGAAAATGCCCTAAAATCGGGGTCTGAGAGGTGACTTTGACAACTTTACTTTTTTGGCTTTCATAAGAAATAAGGTCACCAAAATCAACCTTAGCCGAAAATCGACGACGCCTTTTTCTGCTATTTTATTCCTGGCTGCCTATTTTCTACCTGGTCGCCATTTTCGACCATTGTCAACTCGGCTACCTCGATAGCCATGACGTAAAAAGCGCGAAAGTTATTTCTACCATTTTATGCCATTTTGGTCATTGTCTGCCCTTTATACACTATCTGATAAAATACAAAGTAAAAATCAACATCTCCTTTACATGCCTTTCAGTCGGTAATGCCCGAACGCGAGTGTGTGCACGTTGTCGTCCAAGATCCATCGTTTGTTGTCTGTGCACGTCATGAGTGTCTTGGTCTGCTCCTTCGTGCTGATATCGAAGGTCTAGTTATTGATTCTCTTGAAGGAGCCCTCAATGATTACATTTCCATTCCTCTTGGCCTCGAAGACACGCTTGTACAAATCGATGTTCTTCACGCTTATTCTCTCACCATCGATTACCACATTGCGAGGAACTCCCTTTGCTGCATTGTGTATCACATGCTTCTCATCAACAAAGCAGTACATCTTCGGTCTCAGTCCAACGAATTCTGTGATGCGATATCCGTTGTGTTCGTCCTTGAAGATCGGACCAGGTAACTTCTTGTTGAAGTTGAGGAACGAGTCCAATGAAGGGAACTTGCTCTTGTCCACTTCATGCTCATAGTACTTCACGAGTTCACCATAGAAGTAGCTAGTGTTATCCAATTCCGAGAAGTCGAACGATTTGTACATGTCGCACATCTTGTGAACGATGTTGCCCTTGTCGCTCAGTTGTACGATGAGCGAGTCCGTGTCCTGTCCCAACAGCTCCACGCTATCGAATGTGTTCTTGAGCACATTGTAGTAGAAATCGTAGATGATGTGTTTGGACATGTCGAGAATGGCAAACCCGATGAAGAATGGCTTCACCACCCTGCGCACCGGTGTATTCAGCTTGATGCCGATCAGATTCTCGGAATACATGGTTATCCCGGCGATCATATCTTACCCATGCTTCTGAATGATGGCTTCACGTTCATTCCATGTGTTAGCGAACTTCACTTTCATCCGTTTCAATCCAGTCTCCACAAATTTGCCATAGGTCGAGTTTGCCAACAGCTTGTACAGGTTCTTCTCCACAGTGGTCTTGGATTTGGCTCGTTTCTCACTCAGCATGTTCACGTATTCGAAGATGAACGGTGCCTGCTTGAAACGAATGATGTGATGAATGTGCGTGACACGATATCCCTGTTGAATGCCCAGTTGCAACAGTGAGTAATGTACGAGATACTTTTGACGAGGCACAAGATCGCAGATGAGCTTCGGTGTATTCACCTCTTTCACTTTGTCCACAATGTCGTTCTTCTCAGCGTACTTCTTGATTCCATCGGAGTACATGCCTGCCTTCTGTACGGGGAAGAATGGCAGGTCATTGAACTTGTCGTGGAGTTCCACTGGTGCCTCGATGTCACATTCGATGAAGAATCCATACTTGCCGAACGTCTTGAGTGATTGCACCCACCCATTCGGGTCATGATTGATTTTCTCCATCACTTCTTGACGTTCAGGTACACCCACCAATTCGTAAGGCATCATTCGATGCATAGCTCCACCGTACAGGTTGTTGGCGTCCAGGTAGTAGATGCCTTGGGACGACGTTGCTTGCTCCTTGTTGTCAATGTCAACCTTGGCATGCCGTTTCACGATCTGAGTGATACCTCCTCGCAGGTTCTTCAACAATCGCATGAAGTCATCGATATCATTTGTCTCCATCAATCGAATGCCCTTGCTATCATAGAATTCACCCATGCGATTCAAGAACACTTTCACCAGTTGTTTCTCGGCGAGTCCCTCGTTGGCGTTGATGCGCATGATATCCTGAGCCCATTTCCTTGCGAGGGTCATGAGGCTACTCTTACTATGATCACCCTCCATTGTGACCTTCAAGAATAGCGAATAGGCCATTTGTGGTGCTGTGATGTAATGCATTGGATCAACACCGAATGCATTCAGTGTGGTGTTTCGGAAATGCTCGAATGCATCAGCCATGAGAGTTACATCGAGTACATTGTACAACTCGTAGTATTCACCCCATGTCTTGATATCGAAGGTCTTCCACAGCTTCACCATGTCATCATATTCGTCTTGGGGCATCATTTCTCCCTTCATATCATCAATGCATTGCTCACGAGAAGGAATGACTGTATTGTTCAATGACTCGTACGACTTGATGAGACTGTAGAACATGGGTTCTTTCCGTGTCAACAAATCGATGTACTCGTCACTCCATTGCTTGCCTCTAGACTCGCAATACTTGCGTAGTTGTTGTTTGGTGTGCACATAGAGGTCCAAGTTACCTCCAAGTGTCTGAGCCACAATGGAACGCAGTGGACTGCTGATGAGCTTCAACGAGTCCTTAAATTGAATGCCGTTGTACTCGATCTGCATTTCCTTGTCCTCAGTGGTTGGAATGACTTCGAGATTCCCGCCAGGCATCGTCGCGATGAGTTTCATGATGAATGTGAAATCGTAGTGAGATCCATTGTGGAAGTAGACTGGCAAACGATAGTTCTTCTTGTTGAACGAGAGTTATAGATTGCACTTGTTGCAACAGGTACAGATATACTGTCCGGCTTCGAAGTGGCGTACTTCTCCCTTCCCTGTGGTGTATTCACCTGCCACATGTGCGTGATGTCTCACCCGGTTGTCCTCCAGTTTCTTACGACAGAATGGTCACACAGACGTAGACTGATAATCTCTCTCGATTTCGGGAGTGTTCTCGAGGGGTAATTCATCGAAGAGATACGTTTTCACTCTCTCTTGTAATTGCATGAGATAGTCTATGAAAGGACGAAGATCTTCTTCGCTCTCGTGTGGTGCATGGAAGACTCGAAGTGGCTTCTGGATGTCTAGAACGTGTGACATGCCCAAATAAAACAATATGATCGGCTTGTGTCTGTTCTTGTCATCAATGGCTGACTCGAAGTCAGCGTACACGACGACAGCTGCTGGCATTTCGTATCGCTGGTTTGTGAATCGCAACCGAGTTTCCTCGTTTTACAAATCGTACTCTTCGCTTTCATTGACGAGTTCACGATGCGCTTGTACTTCGTGAGCATGAACGGCTTTGCAAGATCCGAAAAAGTCGTCACAGAATCTGCACTTCACGTTTCTTGCTGTATGTCTATTCTTCGCATCACTCTGACGAAAGATACGATGTTTGAAATCGCTCAAATCCTTGATGTACAAGAAGTGCTTGGGTTTTTTCCCCTCTTGTGTGTCATTCACGATGCAAAGCGACACACTTCCTCCATTGCCATTCGGCTTGTATATCTGAAAGCTCGTGAATAAATCTACTTGTCCTTGGAGTAGTCATCATATCCAGGCAACAGAGTGATTTCGAAGACATTGAAAGAGACTTTCAACAGTTCTTCCAATCTCACAAAATTCTCTTCACTTTGATCGAATGCCTTGTTATCGTAAATGTCCATTGCTTCCTCCACCTCATGAATTGTCACTCCAAATACCTTGTACTTGTCAGGTTGTTTCCACCACTTGTTGTACACACTCGCATCGCAAATGTTGCGATTTGTGATGATCTTGTGTCCGCCTTCACTTGCCAGAATGAGATATCGTTGCAGGCATCGGTTGTCATCGATATTGGGGGTGATCACAGTGCGTCCAATGATAAAAGGTGTGTGGTGCTTGTAGTCCACGAATGTACGAAGTGGGAACATTTCGACATGGAAACCGATCCAATTACAGTACTCAAATCCACTTCCTTCGATCTCTTGTTCCTCCATGGCATTTCTGTACCATTTCAGATAATCTTCCAACCACTCGTCGTTGCGTTCTCGGCGTATAATATGACTGTGTCCCAATCGATCATTGGTGTGATTGAGGATCTTGGCCTCTCCGGCATGTGTCCACATGAGATTGTATGCTATGATAATGATAAACACTAAGATAATCGCGCATGTCATTCAAGATGTACTTCTTCGCTACCTCATTGAACTGATCCATCTCGTTCATCATCGAGTTTATCGGTTCCACTTCCTCTTCGCTCTTTCCATCCGGAAGTCGAATCCATAGTCTTTTGTCATCATCGTTATTGAGCCGGAAGTCCTTCTTGGTTCGTTTCTCATTCATCCATTCCTTGTACATGTTCTTATCTATGTGGTGATAATACGTGAGTGCATACCCGAGTGACGAGTCGATCACATCCGACAAGCGCCCTTCCGCGACTTTGCAATCGAACGGAGTGAAGAACTTGTTTCGTCGTGTTTGACGTCTCTTCTTTACCGTATTCATGAATTCAGGCAACGGTTGTTTTCGCTTCTCACCGAATTCATGTCTATTCCACTCATATTCGAGATATTGCTCGTTCCATGCCTTGCTTCCCACAATCAGATACTTACGCTCTCCTTTGGGATCACCAACTCGTTTCCGAGGAGTTGTTTGTTTTGGTTTCTTTGCTGCCTCCATTGACCTCATATTCTCATCCATACCTTGTTTGACACATACACTCGTGAATCAGGAATGGTCTGATCGGTGAACTTCCCATCGATCATGTAATACTTGGCTGCCAATCGCTTCCAGATTTGAGTGTCAATCTTGATCTTTCGTCCAGTCTCAGGGTTGATAGTATATTCGTCGCGATGAGTATCCATTTATATATAGGTGACAAATTGTTTAAATCCAAAGTGAAGAATTTATGAATTGGAAATAGTTAGCAGATTTCCGACCTAGAATGGGAAAATCGCATGTCCGTCTTCTTCATATTCGAATTCATCGATGTCGATGTAATCAGACTCGGACGACGAATCGTTCGAATCATCGTTCTAATCGTCAATGAATATATTCTTGATGTTCCAATCATTATCGTACACTTCGGATTTTTCTTTGCTCATCTTCACCCATTTGCCGCCTCGTGGTCTATAGTTGTCATGGAGTACTCAGTATACACAGATTTTCCAATAATCGTGAAACGATTGCTGGGAGAAATAAAACTCGATTTGGGAACGTACTTCGTGGTATTCAATGGCATAGGTGTATCGTACAAGTGATTCAATTTCTCGTTGTACTTAAATCCATGCTTGAGAAGGTTCCAGAAGCGAGCTCCGTTAATTTGAATTTCTCGTCCTGTATTGGGGTTCAATGTGTGAGTAGGTCTATTCATTTATATATTAATATATTTATATTTATCTATTTTAACCCTATTTCACGTTTTGATTATGTAAAATACAAGAAAACCGAGAATAACACATGGTCTTCCCTGGTATGTACTTGGGAGGACGAGAATATCGAACTCGCCGACATTATCATTATCCATACCAAGTATCCGATCAATTCAGAGAGACTATTCGGATTTAGTGTTCGTACCCCACAATCGAATGTGAACTGTGGTTTGATCCTGCATGACTACAATTGCATCGAGATGATTCTAGATAATACTTACTCTCCCTTGTTTACCGAGGATGAATGGGAGTATCTATTGCCTCAATCGGAATCCAATGGTCTGCTCGGTGTGCCTCTGAATGTGTTTTGGAGGAATGATTTACTGCCTCCTCACATTATCGGTGTAATCACCGAGAATCGTGCGATCTATTTCTTCTCCAACTACTATGTACGCGTGGTCTATAGGTCGTGAATGATGAAGTGCCTCCCGAGTTGTCCGATCTGTTTATCGATGATGGCGCCTATCTGAAGGGTGTGTATATCAAACACTATGAACGAAATCAACCAAAGTAAATTGAATGAATCAATGTCGTACATATTCAGCAGCAATGGAAACAACTACACGTTCAGGAAGCTCGATAACATGTTCATCAATATGCCCGAGAACGACGGCAAACATGTCCTCGTGTGTGAGACAATGGATGGCGTTCCTCAATATTCATGAACGATATCTTTTGGTTGTTTTGTGAAAGTCAATAATGCCACACTGTTGGAACATACACCCACATCCACTCAACCATTCAATAATCAATGCCAATTCCAATTACCTTCGGCTTTATATCTGATAATCATATCGATTCCATGTTACAATGAGAATGATGCCCTATTCAAACATTGTGATTCCATCGAATCGATTGTGGGTAAGGGATACAAGGTGAATGTTTCAATGGATGGTGTGTGATTGTTCGATGTGCCATTCATCGATACACTCAACAATCTTGTGACCCTTTCCCATACCAAACTGCTAAATGGAATAGATTGGACAAGTGAGAGTCATACGATCTCTACATTCACGAATATCCCTTCTCTTGTATGTTTGGGAGGTGTGAAGAGCATCACGATCGTTTTCAAACACTTGGGCGAGGTTGTTGTTTCTTCTTCTGGGTGCTCGTAATGGGTCGATGTGATGTTGCTGCCTCTCTCAATGCATTGGGTTCCTTTCGACTCTTGGATCGATTGATGGGTGGTGCTGGTTGTGGTTTGCATTTGCTAGCCAGCAGTTCTCAATGATAACACTTTTGGGTGCTATCGCTTTCCACATTCTTCACTTCGTACATCAATGGCATGATGTGATCGTCAATATCAACCACTTCAACCAAGTCCTGAGACCATTTGATCGTCAATGATCGCTTTTCCAAAATGCGAGGTCTTCGTGTCACTCCAACATAATCACAAACATCGAATTGAGGTGTTGTGTCCTTTACTGTCATGTTGGATGGTTCTGTCTTCTCCATGTACAAGATATCGTTGTTCCAAATGTCATTGGGTGTATATCCGATGTCTCTGTTCTTCCTTCCATTATGTCTACGAACTGCACCATCGATCAAATCAAACCATACACCTTTCCATTGATTGATTGAATGAATAGAAGGAACCATGATGTCTTCCTTGATATCTCGAATTGCTCGTTCAGCTAGTACCGCCTTATTCGCTGAATCCATATGATACATGGTGATGTCATACTTGTCCAGGATGTTGGTACGAAAGATGGCATTGGTGAACTCGGTACCTCGATCCGAGCAACTATGCTTTGGTGATTCACCATATGTTTGAATGATGTCCTTCATCGCATGAGTGACTTCTGTAGCACTCTTGCTTTTCAGTTTCTGAGTCATCAGGTATTTCGAATATCCATCAATACATACAAGGACATATTTGTATCCACGATTCTTGTGGAATCCAGTACTCTTTTGTCTTCCTAACACTTCCTGTATCGATTTGTGTTGTTTGGAAGAGAAATCGATAAGATCGATGAAGTATATGTTTCATTTGAATCCACTAATGATCATTCGAGTGGCACCTCTTCGTTTTGCTGGCTTGCGTAGTTCCTTGATCTCATTTATGCTCCCCACACACCTCGATAAATGAGTCACTATATTCAAGGAATGAATAAGTTGTGTCAGAGGAAGAATCACAAACTGGTTATAGACTCGAAATGCATTTTCTCCACTATACACTATTTCAAATAGAGCATCACTCGCATTCAACATTGCGATGATCGTTTCAATATCATATGTACCTCATGAAATCGATAGAGTAAGGAGACTGGATCCAAA